GCAGTTGATGACATCCCTGGAGTACTGACAGAAGATGGATTCTGCTGCTGCTGCTGCATACCGATCTGGCATAAGCCGGTGGAAACGGTCCAGGGGCTGAGAGACCAGTGGCAGTCGTGGAGACATGTACTCCAGTAGTTCAGGAAGTTGATCCGGCAGACGGTGCTGGTGATGAACCAGTCATTGTTGACAGTAGTCTTAATTCCAGATAGCTCTCATACCATGTAATAATTTGACAGGTGTTGCAGAAGACTAAATATAAAATCTGCAAACACGAACACTTGGAAAACCTCAAGTGTTAGCCTAGGATCTTTACTGGAACGGTAGACTAGTAAGACAGCGGAAGTCTTAGAAGAGTGAACCTGAGTATATGTTTCTGCAAAAGTTAAGTCTCAAAGTTTTCAAAGTTGAAATCTCAAGGTTAATAATAAAAAGGACACAACAAAGATTTATAGCTCTAGGAAAGTACCTATTCGCTAATGTACATGTTCGTCACTATCGCGCTATGCGCCCTAGATGATAATGAAGAGGTGCGACTATTTATGTGACTGAAACGACTGTCCTATGACGAGCGCTATTTGCTGATGTCATCCTACGGACTTATCTTCTACGGACTTATCGATAAACAACTTACAGAAATGCTAAGTATGAAATATACCACAACAGAAACGACCGCGTTCGATCGTGACCGTCAAAGTGTGGTGGATTTTTTGGGGGAACTGGGGGCCTGGGGGAAATTCCGAAATGAACAAATGCTGCTAGAAAAAAACAGTTGCCCCTCCCCTGACTCGTGGCAGAATCTGTCATGATTGGCCATTGTATGTAGTACCCTTGTAAAATACCATGATAACGTCAGCTGTCGAATTTCGAATCGAGCTGAAACAAGACACACAAAAAATGTGAGACTTCTCTGCTTGTTTGCCAAATCAGCGTTTTTTTTCGTACAGGACCCTAGTGGAAAAGCGAGCTTTGCCTATGCAACACTGATGAATCTGCGATTTTTTTTTACGAGGGTGATGGAAACTTTTTTTTTAATCACGACACTGAGCAATCAGGGTACCGTAAAACCAATCGTGTCCAGGCCTGTCATTATCAGGGTATTTTACCCTGATTCCCTGATTTCACAGGGTATTTTTTTGGCCAACCCTTAATTTTCAGGGTTGGGTTTTTTTGAACCCTAACCTCTTCAGGGTTGTATGTCTGTGAACACTTAAAATTTCAGGGTTTGTGTTATACCAACACTGAGTTTTCAGGGAGTAACGCGTACGAACCCTGAATGCGACATCCATGCGGACCCTGAATTTCCTCGAAATGGCCCCCTTACGCGTGACGGGGCCCAGTCCATTGAACACGCCCAGCATGCGTCACGTGGGGAATCTGCACTCGGCAAGATTCCCGCCGTATACACGCTGTATGCTGCCATTACAGCAACATTTGCAACCGTCAACTGGCATTCGTGACTCAGCACGCAGCAGACGAGGACAGAATATGATGAGCGCGGCAATGTCAGCCTCTGTATGACATCACCCCGCCAATCATCTCTGTGCAGACGATGCCAGCGCAGGTGCGTTTCGCCGTTGACGGTATCGCCATGGCGATACGGGAACCTGGATGGGTTATGCACCATCCATGAAAATCGAGAGATGGGGCTTCTTGGTCCTCTTCCCGTCTTCTTCACCAGCTCCTCCTCCAACCCGGTTTTTTTCATTTCTTCACGTCACAGCTGCGAGATGCTCCAGTCTTCAATCTCCTCTAGTTTCGTCGCGCCGATTTCTCATTTTCAGCATATCCGCCGCTTCTAGCCATGGCGGATGTAGGAGACTCTGGTGAGTCTCCCACTGCCGACGATAGTTCTGAACTAGGTAGGGACCGCCCCGTGGAGGTCCGTAGATCCGCGCTAGACATCTTGCGGTCTCCCACCGCAGTCCTTACACCATCACAACCCGTATCTACTCCCGCCGCTCCCTATGTACCTCCGCCCGCTGTCGCTTCATCTAGCCGGGGCCCTTTGGTTCCAGACTGCGAGACAGCCACGACCGTGCATTACACGGTCGAGTGTGCGTCGACGATTTCATCTGGGAAGAAAGCACGCGTCGGGAAGTACACCCAGAGCACGATAGTCCTCGGCGGGAAGCTACATAGACCGTCGCCGCCTCGCTCGTCGCCTGAACCTCAGGCCCCTGGTATTCCAGAACCCGAGCCGCCGAAGCTCTCAAAGAAGGAACTCATCGAGCAGAAGTATCTCATGGCTGAGCACAAGTATAAGACCAGCTGGCTTCCTTTTTTCCCTTGGCTTCTGCTAACGAAAACGAAAGATGGTTACCCTGCTTTGAAGTGCAGTGTGTGCAAGGCTTTCGGCAAAGAGACAACACCGTACTCCAACAGCCGCGACGGGGCACGTGACCTGCAGACGCAAGCGATGCGGTTCCACGAACACACGACAGCCCACGAAGTAGCCGTCAAGCGTCAGATGGAGATCGCCGAAGAGATCGCCAGCACCCAGAGGCGCATGGAGAATTACGCGCGGATTGACATCGAAGGGAAGCGCGTCATGAGGCTCCTACGCTGCGTCGACTTCCTGTGCAAGTGTGATGCACCCATCAGCATGTACCCGAGGCTACTCCGCTTCATGGCCGAGCAGGAGACACCGGACATTCCGCTGCAGTCTTACGGAGTCTACCTGACAAGGTAATGCACTTATTCGAAGTACACCATGTCCTTTTTTTTTCAAAAAGGTCTAACCAACACCTTGTTGTCACTTCTGCTACTACAGGTATGGCTTCTGTCAGCTCGTCAGCAGCCTGGCAACCTACCTGCAGCGCCGACAAATGCAATACATTCTCGCCTCACCCTACCTCGGCATCAGCTGCGACGAGAGCACTGACCGTACTCGCGGTAAACATCTGATTGTTTATCTGACCTTCTTGCGGGCGCATCGTGTTGTGACTGAGTTTTTTGCACTCTTGACCGTCGAAAAGTGCGACGCCGCGTCACTCCTCGCCGTTCTTCTGGCTCACTTGCGAGCAACTGGCATCGATCTCTCCCGAATCACCGGCATGAGCACCGACGGCGCCTCTGTCATGGTCGGCCGAGACAACGGTCTCGTCGCCCGACTTCGCGAGCACATCCCCCATCTCGTCTCTTCGCACTGCATCGCCCACAGGTTTAACCGCTTGTCATTTCAGTCGCTTAGGTGTCCTACAAGTGCTTGACTAAAATTCCCTTGTGTGCACCATGCAGGGAAGCCTTGGCGGTGAAGGACGCGGCCACATGTTCTCCAGACTTCGACATGGTCGACCTTGTGATTCGGACTCTGGCCGATCTTCTGGGACGTTCATGTGTCTGGAGTCAACGCTTCAAGTACCTGCAGCGGGCAATACATAACACCAACCTTGAAGTGCAAGGAATTCACACCGTGCGCTGGCTTTCAAGGGGTGAGGCTGTGAGGCGCCTTTGTAAGGTCCTCGGCGCCGCTATCATTCTCTTCTATGAGTACGGGCATGAGCTGTATGAGGTCGTTATCTGTTACAAGTTCCAGTTTTGTCTTTTTTTCCTGGCGGACGTCCTCGGAGTGATGAATGAGCTCAACCTCAAATTCCAGAAGAGGGAGGTGAGCTTCTATCACCCTGCATGTAATTTTTGTCCCATGCATGCACGTTTGGAATCACCCTCTGACTCCACTCCGTCGTCTGTCACATCCACCAGGTCGATGTCACCGAAGTGACGAAGGACATCGACGAGGCGACAGGGGACCTCCGCCACCGCTACTTGGAGTGCGGAGAGGTGTTCGGCGGGGGTGTCGAAGGCACGTGGCTTTCGGCTTTCTTGGCGGTCTACGGGCGCGGAGGGGGCAAACGCGTAAAGGTGCGGGGCATCGACAAGGACGGCAACCCAGTCACGCACACCTACACCATGCACGAGAAGCAGATCGACGGGCATGCCTTCCGCAGCAAGTACCCCGATTGCGAGCGGCTCTGCGCGCAATTCGCGAAGGACACGATAAGCTTCCTGAAGACGAGGATGCTGGACCTGAACAATCTCGGCCCGACGAAGCTCTTCCGCGTGTCGAAGTGGCCCCGGATGAAGCAGCAGAGAGAGAAGAAGCTGAAGGAGTACCTACATGGCTGCAGTGCCTTGTTCGACAACAGGCTGACAGGCTTTTCCTTGCAAGCTGCGCAGAAGGAGCTGGTCACGTGGGCGCCACTGATGCTGAGCCACCATGCCGACGAAGGATTCCATCAAGGCCTGACGAACTACCTCGGCTCGACGGAGTCGACCTTGTGAGAGAGTGCTGCTCGAAGGACGATTATTGATTTTCCTTTTGGGCGGTTTCATTGTTTCCTTTATCAGTTGTTGTTTATCGATTGTTGACAAGCATTGCTAATGCACTGGTCTTGTTCCATGTACTCTATTCCCCCAACCCTTCTGGCAGGCGCTGGCCCAACCTCATGCGCTTGTGGCAGGCATGCGCTGTCCTGCCGCTTAGCACAGTGGAGTGTGAACGAGGCTTCTCGCGGCAGAACGTCATCAAGTCATGGGTGCGGGGCGCGTTGTGCAATGCGCGCCTCAGCGAGCTGATGGTCATTTCCCTGCTGCAGTACGAGACTGACTGGGACGAGGCCATTGGGTGCTGGCGCGAGAAGCTGAGGCGCCCTGCTAAGTCTGTTCTGTTTGCCGCAGCGGAGAGGAAGCGTAAGGCGAAGGCGATTGAGGGGGCAGAAGTGAGGGTGGAGGAGGAGGCAGTCCCCGACTACATGGGGGATTGGGCAGAGGATGAGGGAGAGGAGGAGGGGGGAGTGGGGGCAGTGGGGGGAGAGGCTCCTGAAGAGGAAGACAACCCCTTTCTGTCCGATGACGACGCAGAAGACGAAGTGAACATGGATGGCCCAAAATTTTAGTCAAGTGTAGCTAGTGGCATGGAATATTGTGAAGTCTAGACTAGATAGAGGACTTGTAGAGTAGACTGGCGTGGCGTAGTGGTGCTTTTACTTAACTAGTAGCTGTACATTCCTAGTTGATTTTTTCCCAAGTACAATGCAACCCTGATTGTTGCAAGCCAACCCTGGAGGTTTCAGGGTTGTAAATTCCAGAACACTGAGAAATCAGGGAAGTCAAAATACCAACACTAGGCCCTCAGGGTAAAAAAATTTCCCCATTCGACAGCTCAGGGTGGTTTTTTTTGAAACGTCAGCCCTGATCGTGTGGCCTGGCGGGGATGTTTATTTCTGATTTCCCAGACGAAGTGAAAATCGGGCAGCTCACAGCTCGAGGGGGGGAAGTTGAAATGAGGGGAGGGGGGATTTGAAATCGAGGGGGAAGGGGGAGGGATTTCAAAACCCGAGGGGAGCGGGGAAGCGAAACGGAGGGGGCACGAGGATCAAAACGGAGGTGAGGGGGGGGATCTACATCGAGGGGAATGTCTGCGGGAGGGAGGGGGAATGTATGTCAGTACACGGGGACTTCGACAATTTTTGTTGAGGAGGGTGATACTCTGGCGACTAGGACTTAGCCGATTATTTGTGAGTTGTTGCGGGTGTAGGGGGAATGTCTGTACCACAGGACTTAGCCGATATTTGTCGATTTTTGTGGGGTGTGTAGGGGGAATGCCTGTACAATTTGGACTTGAACTTTTTTCTAGGTTGCTGTGTGTGTGGGGGTAATGTTTCTAGAGATTGGGGACTTCGCCGAAATTTCAGGGCTGTGAGGCACATGGATGTCGCACTCAGGGTTCATACGCGCTGCTCCCTGAAAACTTAGTATTGGCATAACGCAATCCCTGAAATCCCAAGTGTTCAGAAACTTACAACCCTGAAGGGGCTAGGGTTAAGAAAAGTCCAACCCTGAAAATTAAGGGTTGGCAAAAAAAATACCCTGTGAAATCAGGGAATCAGGGTAAAATACCCTGATAACGACAGGCCTGCTCACAAGAGCAAGACCTAGAACGGAAGGGGATGCCTATCCTCCCTCACACTGCATGTTCTGCTGTTCCCCTGCTGCTCCCCTCCCTGCATTCGACCACCAGCAGTCGGTTGTGCAGCAAAGAAAGCACCTGACTCAGCTGCGACCTACAATCACAAACTAGGGGAAGGTGCCTCCTCTGCCTCTTGCTGCCGCTCCTGCTGCCACTCTTGCTGCTGCTGCTGTCCCCCCTGCGGCTCCTGCTGCTCCTGCTGCCCCTGCTGCCCCTGCTGCCCCTGCTGCCCTTGCTGACCCTGCTGCCCCTGCTGCCCTTGCTGCCCTTGCTGCCCCTGCTGCTTTTGATGCTGCCATTGCTGTCTTCCCCACCGCTGCTCTCCCCACTGTTGCTCCCCCCCTCGCTGCCCTCCCCCCCGCATCCTGCCAGCAGGCCGGGGATCCCCCAGGGAGGACGGCAGCTGCGCCAGCTGCTGGCGGCGCCGCCTCTCATCGGCATTCATCGTTCGGTACCGCAGTGAGCGCATGAGCCACTCCGCCCTGTCTGCCCCTGCTGTAAGGCCCGAGCACAGGCAGCGCCGGCGCAGGCGAAGTAAGAGGGGGCGGGAGGGCACAAAGCCAGCATCCACCTGAAGGGCACAGGAGGGTTAGGGGATGGTGGAGCAGGTGCAAAGAATGATTCCGGAGATTTCACGAGCCCCTCCGCCGTCCGCACCCTGTGAGCCCCAAGCACAAGCAGCGCTGGCGCAGGCGGAACAGGAGGGGGCAGAAGGGGACGAAACCAGCAACCACCTGAGAAGGGGAGGGGGGGAGAGAGGGCGGGGGGGGGGGGGGGGTACCAACTTTCAGGGAAGAATAATTTTCACATTTGTGTGTGGAAGGTCATCAGCTGCGCGCTCCATGTGCCCAGAGCGCGACGTCAGCGGCGCAGCAGGAGGGTCCGGAGGAGGGAGGGCGGGGGGGGAGGAAGAGGAGGAGGTAGGAGGGGAGGATAAAGGAGAGGGGGAGGACGGGGGGTGTGAGGGAAGTGAATTGAAGTGCCTGGAAACTCATAAACGACTCTGCCTGTGTGCTCCCCCAGTGACCCCAGAGCACAAGCAGCGCTGGCGCCTGGCGCAGGCACGATTAACGAGGGTTTTAATTCGGATCCGACACGGGGATGCAGAGAAGGCAGAAGCGACACGGGGAGGTGTTCAACAGGGGGGTGGTGACAAGGAAATGCATGAGATCGTATGAGGGGCATGAGATCGTATGAGGGGCACGCTGTTGTGTGAGGGGCACGCAACTCACCATCTTGTCCATGGCGATGCACGCCCCCTGGGCATCAAATGCGCGGATGTGGGCATCCACGAGGATGGTGAAGGAGTCCATGCAGGGCGGCAGGTGCAGCGTGCGCGTCATGTGCTCAAACAGCTGCACCACCGTGCGCACCTGGGGATAAGCGGGAGCAAGGCGGGGGATGGGGGTGGGGAGTAGACGGATATATGGGTTGTTTCAAAGGAGAACCACCGTGAGCACCTGGGGATGGGGGGAGAGGAGGGAGGGGGTAGTGGGCAGGGAGGGTAAAAGAGAGAGCCGGTCGTGCGAACAGCTGCAATACCCCTCTCCTACCAACTCACGTCAGCCAAACGACCAAACATCCCATGAGTGCATTGTGTGAGTGCGAGTCCGGGAGGAGGCCCAACGTCCTCTGGGTCTCAGGTGTGTTTGAGCCTCGGAGATTGAGATGACGCGAGCCCAGTTTGGTTGAGCCTCGGATTCAGCGACTCAGCGACCCAAGAGACTCGCGTCAGCCACAGTGAGGATGTGTCAGGCACAGTGAGGATGTGTAAGGCATAGTGAGGATGTGTAAGGCATAGTGAGGATGTGTAAGGCAAAGTGAGGATGTGTAAGGCATAGTGAGGATGTGTAAGGCAAAGTGAGGATGTGTAAGGCAAAGTGAGGATGTGTAAGGCAAAGTGAGGATGTGTAAGGCAAAGTGAGGATGTGTAAGGCAAAGTGAGGATGTGTAAGGCAAAGTGAGGATGTGTAAGGCAAAGTGAGGATGTGTAAGGCAAAGTGAGGATGTGTAAGGCAAAGTGAGGATGTGTAAGGCAAAGTGAGGATGTGTAAGGCATAGTGAGGATGTGTAAGGCATAGTGAGGATGTGTAAGGCAAAGTGAGGATGTGTAAGGCAAAGTGAGGATGTGTAAGGCAAAGTGAGGATGTGTAAGGCAAAGTGAGGATGTGTAAGGCAAAGTGAGGATGTGTAAGGCAAAGTGAGGATGTGTAAGGCATAGTGAGGCTGTGTAAGGCAAAGTGAGGATGTGTAAGGCATAGTGAGGATGTGTAAGGCAAAGTGAGGATGTGTAAGGCAAAGTGAGGATGTGTAAGGCAAAGTGAGGATGTGTAAGGCAAAGTGAGGATGTGTAAGGCAAAGTGAGGATGTGTAAGGCAAAGTGAGGATGTGTAAGGCAAAGTGAGGATGTGTAAGGCAAAGTGAGGATGTGTAAGGCATAGTGAGGATGTGTAAGGCATAGTGAGGATGTGTAAGGCATAGTGAGGATGTGTAAGGCATAGTGAGGATGTGTAAGGCAAAGTGAGGATGTGTAAGGCATAGTGAGGATGTGTAAGGCATAGTGAGGATGTGTAAGGCATAGTGAGGATGTGTAAGGCAAAGTGAGGATGTGTAAGGCATAGTGAGGATGTGTAAGGCATAGTGAGGATGTGTAAGGCAAAGTGAGGATGTGTAAGGCATAGTGAGGCTGTGTAAGGCAAAGTGAGGATGTGTAAGGCATAGTGAGGATGTGTAAGGCATAGTGAGGCTGTGTAAGGCATAGTGAGGTTGTGTAAGGCATAGTGAGGATGTGTAAGGCAAAGTGAGGATGTGTAAGGCAAAGTGAGGATGTGTAAGGCAAAGTGAGGATGTGTAAGGCAAAGTGAGGATGTGTAAGGCAAAGTGAGGATGTGTAAGGCAAAGTGAGGATGTGTAAGGCAAAGTGAGGATGTGTAAGGCAAAGTGAGGATGTGTAAGGCATAGTGAGGATGTGTAAGGCAAAGTGAGGATGTGTAAGGCAAAGTGAGGATGTGTAAGGCATAGTGAGGCTGTGTAAGGCAAAGTGAGGATGTGTAAGGCATAGTGAGGATGTGTAAGGCAAAGTGAGGATGTGTAAGGCATAGTGAGGATGTGTAAGGCAAAGTGAGGATGTGTAAGGCATAGTGAGGATGTGTAAGGCATAGTGAGGATGTGTAAGGCAAAGTGAGGATGTGTAAGGCATAGTGAGGCTGTGTAAGGCAAAGTGAGGATGTGTAAGGCATAGTGAGGATGTGTAAGGCATAGTGAGGCTGTGTAAGGCAAAGTGAGGATGTGTAAGGCATAGTGAGGATGTGTAAGGCATAGTGAGGCTGTGTAAGGCATAGTGAGGTTGTGTAAGGCATAGTGAGGCTGTGTAATGCATCCACTCTACACCAACGCTGGGCGGGAGTGTGCGTCCGGTTAACGCCCAAACGTCCTATCCGTCTCAAGTGGGTGGAGATCCTGGGTGTGAAGCACCAAGTCCGTGACCCAATACTCATGTGAGCCACCCCGCCGCTGCACTCCATCCATGCTGGATACGAGTGTCAGTCCGGGTGCAGCCCAAACGTCCTCTCGATCTCAGAGTGTACAAACTCTTAAATTCAGCGACCCAACAGTCACGTCAGCCAAACACACACATGAGGCACACCGCTGCAGCACTCCACGGGCACATGCACGAGCCAGGCATCCAGCGACCCACGGTTCACATCAGCCACACAACCACGGCACTCCATCAGCAGTGGGTACGAGTGTGCGCCCAGCTACAGCCCAAACGCCTTCTTCACCTGAGTTGTGTACAGAGCGTGGGTTTGCGCCTCAGAGCCACTAGCCCACCACTCATCCGCCACACCGCCACAGCACTCCACAAGCACCGCCACCATGTGTGAGTGCGTGCAGCTGCAGCCCAAACATCGTCTCTATCTCAAGGCCGCATGAACTCTTTGGACTCAATAATACTCACATCGGCCACGCCGCCATAGCACTCCATGAGCGCCGTGTACGAGTGCGCGTCCGGCTGCAGCCCAAACGTCCTCTCAATCTCGTCAAAGGTGAGTTGCGCGCGCTCCACGTCCCGCTGCATGGCGCACCCCGCCACAATGCAGTTGAGGGCCGCTAGTGGTACAACCTCTCCTCCCTGGTGCATCTGCTCCAATGAGTAGTACGCCTGGTGGGGGGGGCGTGAGGGGGGAGTGCACATCCAAGGCGACTCATAATATCATCGAGGACAGCCATATGAGAGGTCATCATTCTACCAGCATGCAAGCAACCACCTACTCACTTGCCCCATCACTCACTCACTCCACCACTCACTCACTTAACTCCATCACTCACTCAGTCAATCACTCACTCTATCACACACTCACTGCACCACTCACTCACTCCATCACTCACTCCCTGCATCAATTTCTCATTCCACCGTCTCCCATCAGCACCACAGCAGCACTCACCATAACCCTGCCACCGCCGACTCACCATAACCCTACCACCAGCGACTCACCCCAGCCCTACCACCGCCGACTCACCACAGCCCTACCACCGCCGACTCACGTTATCGAGCACATCCACGTGCGAGCAGAGGGCGAGCGTCACCGGCCTCAGCAATGTGAGCGGGTTCAGATCCTCCAATGACACGCCGCCATGTGTCACCTCCTCCTCTTCTCCCCCTGTGAGCCCCACATCCTCACCCCCACCACCAGCTGAAGATGGGGTGGCGGCGGAGGAGGAGGAAGCAGTAGCAGCGGCAGTGGGGGAGAGCGAGTCTTGGAGCTCGAGGATGGAGCGGAAGGCGGAGGGGAAGTCCCTGGCCGTGCTGTAGGCGTGGATGCGGGCGAGGTGGAAGGCGGGGGGGATGGCAGCCAGCCCCGTGCCCGCCAGGTACGCCCACGCCTGCTCTGCCAGGGCTGTGGCGCCCTCCCTGGCTGCCAGGTTGAGCGCGAGGAGGAGGGAGCCCTCGTCAATGGCCATGCGCCGCTGCGCTAGCATCTGAAAGGGGAGGGGGAGAGGAGGGCGGGAGGAGGAGGGGAGGAGGAAGGGAGGTGGGGGGAGGAGGAGGTGGGGAAGGCGGGGGGAGAGGAGAGGACGGGGCCAGGAAGGAGCAGCAAGCCCTCGTGTATGGCCGAGCGCAGCAGCTCTAACTTCTGGGAAAAGGGGGGAAGAAGAAGAAGAAGCAGGGGAATGTAGGCGGAGACAATGGGGGCAGGCCTGTGCCCGCCAGGCATGCCCACGCTGCTCTGCGAGGGCGGTGGCGCCCTCCCGAGCTGGCAGGTTCAGCGCAAGCAGCAGAGAGCCGTCGTCTATGGCTATGCGGCGCTGCACTAGCATCTGGAATATGGGTTAGAAGAATGGGGGGGGGAAGAGGAGAAGGGGAGGAGGGGACGGGAGGAGAGGAAGGGAGGTATAAGAAGCAGCGAGCCCTCGTCTGAAGAAGAGGGAGGGGGGGAGAGAGGAGTGGAACAACGGTGGTGAGTGTGGAGAGAGGGAAAGAGGGGCGGGGGAGAGGGGGGGGGGAAGGGGGGAAAAGCAGAGGTGTAGAAAGCAGAGAAACCATGCAGTGGTGCGATAATATCGGAAAAAAGAAGGGAGCGTGGGGATGAGATGTCTGTAAGAGACAGAGGGAGAGGCAAGAGAGGAGATGAACGGGCCGACGATTGGGAGGCGGAGGAGGAGGAGAATAATGAGACGAGCAGCATACAGAGATGGCATAGTTGATTAGGCACACACCTGCATGACGAGCAGCGCGCACTCAGCGTCTTCCGACTCCACGGCTGCCATGAGCACGTCCACCATGGTGCTGGGCACCAGCATGATGCCGTGCGCCTGCAGGGGGAGGGGGGGGAGTGAGCTAGTAGATGCAGTTATAAAGGCAGAGACGCACACACAGCCCCCCCAAGTCCACTGCTGCTGCCATCCGCCCATGAGCACATGCATGCACCATGGTGCAGGGCAGCAGCATGGTGCAGAGCAGCAGCATGGTGCAGGGCAGCAGCATGGTGCCATGGAACTGCCGGCAACAGGGGTGCAAGAAAATGAAGTGGGATAACAGAGTCACGGGGATGTGAAGGGGCACAAGCATACAGCCCCCACGGCCATGCTCTTGACACCATGCGATGCGACTGTCCCAAGGGGAAAAGGGGGGGGGGGGGGGTGGAGGGCGTTGGGGGGGAGTGGGCAAGTGGGCGTGTGGAGGGGCAAGGCACGGAATGGAGGATGGAACAAGTGGTGGCGAGGGACTTGACGGAAGAAGGACAGAATGAGCATCCCTGGGCCTCAGTGTCCACCCACAAGCAGTAAGCAGCTCGTAAAAGGCTCCATGCCTCATGCACAGTCACACCCTACAGTTGCCACCCACCTGAGTCTCCTTGAGCACTGTCACGGCACCCCTGGACCTCCGTGTCCGCGCTCACGCAGTGAGCAGCTCGTCGAAGGCAGCCCTGGAGGGCTCCATGGCCTCCTGAACAGTCACAGCTGGCATTTGTCACACCCAGTTTAGTCACCGCACCTGTGTTTCCTTGAGCACCGTCATTGCATCCCTGGACCTCGGTGTCGGCGCACACGCCACCAGCAGCTCGTTACATGCGGCCATGGATGGAGGGCTCCATGCCGGCCGCCACTGCATGTCGTGGGTGCGCCTCAGTGCTGCTGTATCACCCCGTTTAGTCACACGCACCTGAGTCTCCTTCAGCGCCGTCACTGCGTCTCTCGACCGCCAGTCCACGCACACGCCATCAGCAGCTCGTTGAAGGAGGCCCTGGAGGGCTGCATGCCCGCCGCCAGCTATACTTGCCACACACGCGCACTCTCGCACCTGAGTCTCCTTGAGCACGGTCATGGCGTCTCTCGACCGCCGTGTTCTCGCACACGCGATGAGCAGCTCGTTGGAGGCGGCCTTGGACGGCTCCATGCCCGCCGCCAGCATGTCGTGGGTGTGCCTCAGCGCCATGGGCACTCGGCGGTCCATGGCGTACAGGGCGATCACCAGGTTGAAGGAGTCGGCATCGGGCTTTACCCCCAGCGACCGCATGCTGTGGGGGGTGGAGGGGGCATGTGATGGGTGTGCCTGAAGCCATGGGCGCGCAGCGGTCCATCCATGGCGTACAGGGCGGCGACCAGGTTGACTTGACGGAGTGGGCATCTGGTGTCCCTCCCCATGACCGCATCCTATGAGGGGAGCGGGAGGGGCGGGTAGAGGGGAGGCGCATGCGGCAAGAAGGTGACGCCATCCGTGTGCCTCAGAGCCATGGGCACTCGGCGATCCGTGCGCATTTGACAAGGCTGTGGGAGAGGGCGCCAGGTTGCTTGCACCCCCAGTGAACACATGCTCCGAGTGGGAGGGGGACAGACAGCGGCACAGAATAGAGGAGCCTCGGAAGGAGCATGGGAAGGAGCATGAGAAGGAGCATGGGAAGGAGCATGGGAAGGGGCATGGGAAGGAGCATGGGAAGGGGCATGGGAAGGAGCATGGGAAGGAGCAGGCATGTAGTGGGTGGGTGTGCCTCAGAGGCATGGGCACTGTGTGTACAGCACGGCTCATGGTCATGGCACACAGGGCGATTGCAAGGCTGCAGGTAGCGAGAGCAGGTGCCACACTTCACGAGTGCACACTGCACGCAGGGAAGGGAGAGTAAGGGGGTGTGGAGAGATGAAGTGGTGCTGGCACACAGGGAGGGGTTCATTCATGGCACAGAGAGACAGAGGGCGGGTACCTACTAGCCCGTAGGAGTCTGCATTGGTTTGCATCCCACGAGTCGCTGTGAGAAGTGAGAGGGGGGAAGCGCGGCAAAAACCCTTGCTACACCCTAAACCCCGATTCTCCCCTCCTCCTCTTCCCCACTCGCGCTCTCTCCCCCGACGCGCTCGTCCATGATCCGCGCGGCTCTCCCCACATCCCACTCCCCGAACGCGGCTCTCAGCAGCGCGTTGACATACAGGGGGTTTGGCTGCACTCCCCTCCTTGCCAGCTACCACATTCTCACTCGCTCTCTCCCCCCTCCCTCCCCCCCTGCCACTCACTCGTCCATGATCCGCGCAGCTCTCCCCACGTCCCTCTCCCCGAACGCGGCTCTCAGCAGCGCGTTGAACGACAGCGCGTTGGGCTGCACGCCCTTGCGCCGCATCTCGCCCACCACTCCCTGCAGCGCGTGCGCCGGCCGCCCCAGCTGCATCAGCGCGTGCAGGTAGTAGTTCCACGTCACCACGGGCAGCGCCTCTTGCTGTTTCCCCCCCGGCTCTGCGGATCCGCTTCCCCGCCCTTCCGCCTGCCCCCCACCATCCCCAGCCTCCCCAGCCGCATCCGCGCCAGCAGCAGGCGCAGCTGCTTCCCCCAGCACGGTTTCGCTCCCCCCGTCCCCCGCAACCTGCGTTCCACTTCCCCCTTCCGCCGCACCATCCACCTTTTCCCCCCACGCGCAGAACAGCGCAACGGCCTCGCGGAACCGCTGGCTGGCGATGAGCGTCCCCAGCGCGCGGTTCAGCTCCACCACTGTCGCCAGCCCCGACGCCCTCCGCGCGGCGGCTTCCGCCAAGTGCTCGTCCGACGCAAGCTTGCGCGGGCCCCAGCCGCGGTCCCTGCCGTGATCGATGATGACGTTGCTTTCCGTCGCCCCCGACGTGCCCTGCGTGGCTGGCGTGGCGTCTGCCACGTCGGATGCCGAGTGGCCAACGTCGCTCGGATCTGACGCGTCATTGTCATGATGTCCCTCGTTATAGTCACCATCCGTTACATGCGGGAGCGCCAGATTGTCTGTAGCTGAACCCAATACAACAGATTCAGTGGACAAACCTCCCCCAGATACAGCCGCTACGCCCTCCTCTCCTGCATCCTTCCCATCGCTGCTACCCGTTGCTCCAGAAGCAATCCCAGCCGTTGATCGAGAGAAAATGCTCGCCGTTGATCCTGCTGTTCTGCTGCTGCTGAGCCCGCGTCGCACCACGTGGCTTTGAAAGTGCGAAGTTGCGACGATCTTTCGTCGAGGAGGCCATGCCGACGTCAGCGCGATTTGCGAAAGGAGTGAGCGAGCCACGTCACTGCCTAGGATATGGGAGGACGGCGGGCGGACGGCGAGGTGCGATTCGGATTGGATGTGGGTGAGCGGGGGAGCGGGGATGCTACTAGCAGCGGAAGCAGCAGCGCCGGGAGACGCGGCGGGAATGGAGTGCGGTTGAGCGATGGAAATATCGGACGGTTCCGACGGGACTGGTCCTGATGGATACGGCGCCGTCTGTTGCGGCGGGGACGCAGCAGTCGTCAGCGAGCCGGAAGGTAGATCTACTCGCCGCGATTCACGATAACTGAACGCGGCGAAGGGATCGGATGCGACGAGGAGCGGCGCTGCGGCAGCGGCGAGAGTGCCGCCGCATGACGCGGAGCGTGTAGCTACCACGGCCGAGGGCACGCTGGCTAATGCTGATCGCGACGCCATTGGGAAGCGGCACGGCGTGTGGGCAAAACTGATACGTGAGGAGAGGGCGTGGTTGGGCATCGGGTTCTTCTAGGATGAGCAGTGTGCGAACAAGTGCAACGGATTCGTGAACTCCACCGAGGGGGAATCTCGGCGAACTCACAATTTCGTCGCAAACAACAACGACATCGACAACAATGGCCCATACAGGTCTCGAACCTGTGACCTTCGCGTTATTAGCACGACGCTCTAACCAGCTGAGCTAATAGGCCTGTCACGTTTTGGATGTTACAAACATTCTATTGTTTTTTTTTTAGCTACCCCCCAATTGATGATATATTTAAATGGATGGTTCAGTCTGACATTCCCGTGTACTGGCTGTGCACATGTACTGCATACATACGTCGGTTTTTAACTACATTCCATTCCATCTACGGTTACTCTTCCATCTCTGATTACTTTTTCTCTATCCCTTCTGCCTGCCATGGCTGCACACGGGAGAAGACTGGTTCAGCTGGTAACAACGTCTGGTCTTCTTCTGCTCTCTCCTCATGGTTCCATTCCTCTGCTACTACCTCCTTGCTTACCCTTTCGCATATCATCCTGCCTGTCACATTCTTCTCGAGTACTGGAAGTGCACATGTTACTGTCAAACATATATTTTGTATATGTTATAGACTAGATAGGTGCATATTCATAGAGTACAACACCTTAGGTTATAGTCCCTTGTACCCATCATCCTAGTCAATGTTTCTACTCTGAGATGGTATCACGCTAGGATAGGATCTCGCCCACCCGCGCTTCCGCCCTCGTCCTAGCCCTAGCCCGAGCCGCCCGTCGCTAGCCGCCACTAGCTGCCCGATGCCCGTCGCCGGCGGCCCGCTGGCCCGTAGACGCTGGCCCGTAGCCGCCGGCCCGTCGCCAGCGCTAACCGCCTGTCGCCCGTAGCCGACGGCCAGCTGGCCCGTAGCCGTGACTAGCCGGCCGTCGCCGTACTCGCCGACCCGTTAGCCCGTCGCCGCCGGCCCGTAGCCGCCGCTAGCCGCCCGTCGCCTGTACCCGCCAACCCGCTAACCCGTAGCCCCCGGCCTGTCGCCGCCGCTAGCCGCCCATCGCCCGTACCCGCCGACCCGCTGGCCCGTAGCCGCTGACCCGTCACCGTCGCCCGTAGCCGCCGGCTGCCCGCCGCCCATCGATCGCAGCCCGCTGGCCGCCTGTCGCGGCTGGCCGCCCGTGGCCGCTAGCCGCCCATAGCCGCCAGCCTGTTGGCCGCCCTTAGGTGCCAGCTGCCCGCCGCCCATTTCTGTCACCCGTCGCCGCCAGTTGTCCGTAGCCCGTTGGCCGCCTATCGCCGCCTATAGCTGCCAGCCCGCCTGTCCCCGCTGGCCACCCGTTGCCGCCAGCTCGCCTGTCGCCGCTGGCCGCCCGCTGCCGCCAGCCGTCCATAGCCGCTGGCCGCCTGTAGCCGCCAGCCGCCAGTAGCTGCTTGCCACCCATCCCCGCTGGCTGCCCGTTGCCGCCAGCCCGCCTTCCGCTACGGCCTGACGGCGAACCCTCCTGGCTGGTACAGCATGGTGCGATGACGTATCCCTGTTTTTGAGCTTGACATGGATCACATTAGGTCTGCTCTCTATGCCATATATGCTGATGACTCTAGTGTGAATGGACCATATTATCCGGTGTTGCCTAGAGTAGGTGTGACCCATGTGTAAAGTGTAGGTTCCCCTGCTGCATCAGGCGTAGGACCACCTGCATTGTTTAGCCTCGGCTCCACCCTAGCTCCTCCGCCTGAGGCTGCTACCGCCGCACTCTCGTTCATGCTAGACTCTGGTGCATGGCTTGTACCTCCATGATCCATGCCGGTGCACCCCATATTTTGTGGTCGTTTGCTGTTCGCTACGCCGCTCACCAGCTTAACCTGTGGCCGCACTCCCAGCGGCTGCAGGTTTCGCCGACCCTTCTCTGGACCGGGTTCCTTGGTGACGCGTCTGCGTTCCACCTCTGGGGCTGCCTTGCTCACGTTCGTGCCTCTAGCACGGACAAGCTCAGTGCCCGCACCGTCACTTCTCTCTTCCTTGGTTTCCCCCTTGACGCTTCTGACCAGCAGAGACGGGACGAGCACGGGCGGCGGCGACTGCGCTCGTCTCGTCTCTCCTATCCAGCGCTCTAAACCTATATTGCTTCGTTCCCACGCGTCTTGTTCTCCCCTCCTCCCGTCGCCTCCTCCGTCGTCGCTGGTTGTCGCTCCGCCTCCCCTGTCTAGCTTGTTCCTCGGGATCTCGCCTCTCTTGTTACCGAACTGTCGGTTCCTGTCTCCAGTCTTGATGCTCTTGTCGCTACCGTCACAAACTTTGCCTCTACTCGCCGCCTTGATTACGCCACCGCTCTGGTCTCTTACCCTGCGCGTCCTTCGTCCGTCGAGGGTGCACCTGCCCTTGGTAGTGACTTCCTACAGGACAGGCAGTACGAGCTAGCTTTCCTATCCGAGGCCGCTCCCCATCTCTGCTCCATGCTGCTAGCCCCTGAGGGTGACCCAGACGCCCTTGACATCCCGACCACTCGCACTTACACTGAGGCGACCTCAAGACCCTAGGCCTCTCAATGGATAGCTACAATGGACGCGGAGATGGCATCTTGGAGATCCACCGGCACCTACATCGACGCAGTTCCCCCACCTGGGGTGAACGTAGTCGATGGCCGGTGGCTCTTCAAGGTGAAGCGCTCTCCTAGAGAGACGCCGGTGTTCAAGGCGCGCTATGTTGCTAGAGGTTTTCAGTCAGCACAAGGGTGTTGACTTTTTCGCCCCGACCCCGAAGATGACTACTCTTCGGGCGCTGCTACACGTATTAGCACAGTGTGACTACGAGCTGCAATCTCTCAAATTCTCCACAGAGTTTCTTCAAAGCAGACTGCACGAGCAGGTTTACCTACGTCGTTCGCCAGACTTCACCGGCACCTTCGCCTCGGAGACCAAGTGGCTCCTTCGGCGCCCGGTTTACGGCCTACAGCAGGCACCGCCCGAGTGCTACGACACCCTTCGTGCTACGTTAGCTGACCTGCAGTTCTTCCCGTCCTCTACAGACCCTTCTCTATTCGTTCACTTAGGCCAAACTCTGTTCTACATCCTTGTCTATGTAGACGACTTGGTCTTCACTATAGCAGACATAGATGCACTGGCCTCCGTGAAGGCTGAGCTGCTGAAGAGACACACCTGCACTGACCTAGGAGAGCTGCACCGCTACCTTGGCCTCCAGATCTCCAGGTACAGAGTAGTGCGCACCATCACTCTCACACAGTCACACTTGGTGCGCCAGGTCATTCAGAGGTTCTGTCTTCAGTTCTCCTCCACACAGCCCACTCCTGTGCCAGTAGACCACAGGCTCTCAGCTCCAGTTCCTGAGGAGTCTATAGAGCCTAGTGGTCCTTGGGCAGAGCTGGTGGGTTGCCTCATATACCTGATGGCTTGCATTCGTCCAGATCTCGCATACCCTCTCAGCATCTTGGCTTGCTTTGTGGCCACAGGCACACACCGGCCACAGTAATGGTTGGCCGCTAAGAGGGTTTTGCGTTATCTAGCAAGTACATTGGGCATGGGGCTAGTGCTAGGAGGACGCAGGCCAGTGGTCCTTACAGGGCACACAGACGCGTCGTGGGCGGACGATGTTGAGACATTCAGGTCCTCCCAGGGCTACTGCTTTAGCCTTGGTGCAGGTGCCATCTCGTGGAGGTCCACCCGTTCGTTATCTGTTGTCCAATCTAGCTGTGAGGTTGATATCTACGCTGGTGCCATGGCGGCACTGTAGCTCCGCTGGCTGACTTGCTTGCTCACAGACTTAGGTGAGCAGCCTAGCTCTGCCCGAATCCTGTACGCTGACAACAGGGTCATGATCCTCCTATGTCAGTAGCCTCGACTGGAGGGCAGAGCAAAGCACATCCAGCTGCGTTACTTCCTCTAGTGCGAGCTACAGCAGTGCCGCCAAGCCCGCGTAGTACACTTGGCCTCCGGTGCCAACACAGCTGATATCTTTACGAAGGCGTTTGCGCCTAAAGATCATCAACGGCACTGTGTACAGCTTGGTCTAGTTCCTGTAGCTTCTCACTTGCTAGGACCTTGATTGTGTACTTCTTATATTATCTTGACTCGCCTTGTGGCTCTTGTTCCAATGGCTGGACCAGTCCCTCATATTCGTTTTAGGCTATGCTGATTGATCAGTGTCGATCTCAAAAAGCACACTGAAAATGAGTTTTTGGTAGTGGTTTTCTTACTGGTTGGCCCTGATTCTTTCGTTTTCAAGGCTAATTCATCAAGGTCGGTACAAGAGAACACCCTGGAAAAAAAAAAAAAAAAAAAAAAAAAAAAAAAAAACGGCGTAAAATGCCTGATAAGTATGGGCCTGGGCTGGACTAGTAGTGCCGCCCTGTGTCTCTCTTGATTCGTTTGTACTCTTGCTGACTGGTCTTGGGACCCTTGCCTCAGAGGTTGGACTAGTAGTGCCACCCTGAGCTGCGTGCCTCTAGCCAGGCACTGCCCCTCATCTAACATATATTTTGTATATATTATAGGCTAGATAGGTGCATATTCATATGGAGTACAACACCTTAGGTTATAGTCCAAGCCCTCAGAAGTCAGGCCTGAAAGCCTCTATTAGGGTATCATTTAGGGCATACCCTATTTTTTCAGGTTTTGATTTTTATCAAACATGAAATTTATGTGTTCCTATTTTTTAAGCCCTGAAAAACAGTCTGTTCCTGTTTTAGCGAGTCTGACGAATCAGCCTTAGTCGAAATTCGCCCTGAAACAGAATCCTTTCTGTTAGGGTGAGCTAGAGGAGGTGTGAGGGGCGTGACTGGTCCTTGACCAGAATCACGCAAATTTAGTCCAAGGAGAGCTGGAGCACGTGTGAGGGGGGTGATAGGTCCTTCGCCACCCTGACGTACCAGTTTGACATGAGCTGGAGCAGGTGTGAGGAGTGTGACTAGGCCTTAGCCAAAAACACAGACCAACCCGATGAAAGCGGCGAACTGCTGCGTGAATTTCGTTAAACAGGAAACCCACGGCGAAAGTTCGCAGCCCCTGCGACAACACAAAAAACATTTTGGGCAAATTACGAGGTGCTGGTTTGGGCGAAACTGCATTTGCGAGTGACACACTGTTAAATTATATATGTTCGTATATAATTGTAGGCTTGGGAGACGTTACTGAACATTACTGTAGAGGGTACAACACCCCTCCTTGTATCCCTCTCTCTTCCTAGTCAGCTCTCTTTTCTCTCGTCAAATCTCCCTCTCCTAGTTCTCCTAGCTCCTAAAACCTCACGCCACTTTCATGGCGTCCTAGTTCCTAGTTTGACATGGTTTCAGAGCAGGACGCCCTTCTCGGGCCTGCTCTCTACGCTTCCGCGGCCTTCTGTTTGCCTGCCGCCGTGGCAATTTTCCGAGATGCCGTGGCGGCCTCTGTGTGCTGTCGTCTCAGCGTCGACGAGCAGCCGCGGCTTCGATGCCACGCTATGGTGGCGTCTTAGTGGTGCCGTGGCGGTGTCGTCAGCCTGTTGCCGTCGCGCACCACCTGCGTCGCTGCTGGACTTGCAGCCCGCCCGCACGCTAGTAAGCGCCGCGCCAGCAATGGCGCCGCGCTGAAGATCCGAAGCCCCGCCCCTTCCCCCTTCCCTCTGTCTCCTCCTCTTCGCCACAGCCGCCGCCTGACTCTCGCCAGTCGTCCCTCTGACGCGGAGCTTGGACACGCCGCCATAAGGGCGGGGGCCGCTGCCGTTACCGTAGTTGTACGCCGAAGCCGTCGCAGTCGCTGCAGGCCTGTTGCCGGCGCACGCCGCCGTCGCCATCGCTGTCGCCGTTGCCGGGACTGCCGCCGTCGCCATCTCCAGGGCCTTGGGGTTGGCCCTGCTGGAGTAGTCGTGGCTGTTGGGAATGGGGGTCCTAGGTTGGGGGGTGTGGGGGTCTGTGGGTCCTTGTGCTACCAAGCCTAGGGGGTGTGTTAAATTATATACGTTCGTATATAATTGTAGGCTTGGTAGACGCTACTGAACATTACTCTAGAGGGTACAACACCCCTCTTTGTATCCCTCTCTCTTCCTAGTCAGCTCTCTTTTCTCTCGTCAAATCTCTTTTCTCTCCTAGTTCTCCTAGCTCCTAAAACCTCACGCCACTTTCATGGCGTCCTAGTTCCTAGTTTGACACACACATGCACGTGGCATCACTTGCAAATTTCGCGATGCTGGGCACGTGCGCCCTGAAAAATAAATCGTCTGGTGTTATAGTAGACTGAGTATAAAACTGTAAACACGAACACTTGGAAAATCCTCAAGTGTTGGTCCAGGATCTTTACTGGAATGGTAGACTAGTAAGACAGCGGAAGTCTTATAGGAGTGAACCTGAGCACATGAACTTGTGGGTAGTTGAAGGTTGAATAACCTGAGCACATAATTCTGTGTTAAGTCAAGGTTGATAATAGGAAGGCATTACAAGAATTTATAGCTCTAGGGAAAGTACCTGTTCGCTAATGTAGCTATTCGTCATACTATAGGGTCGCGACTGTTCGCGTAACTGAAACGACTCGTTACGCCTAATCGCGTAACTGAAGCGGTATGCTGACGTCATCCTCGAGACCCGCGATGCTTTGCTGACATCAGCACTCGGACATGATTACTTACTGAGAATCTCGATACTGTTAACTATACTGAAAACGGAACTTGCAGGAATGCAAAACTTCATTTACCACAACACTCCCCTTCATTCCTGGAAGTTCGATGTAGTCACGTCGTTGTTGGAGTCTGGCGAATGAAATCTGCAATTTGGAATCTTGTGACGTGTAAAATTCATGTGCTGTAAGTAGTCGGCGGTCATTCCATTGGTCAAATGGTAAACCAATCACGTTCTTCCTTTGTTGATGACGAATTTTGGCTTTGACGGAGTGTGTGTAGATCCTCCTTTCCCCCTCACTTCGGCAGAGTAAAAAATGAGTCGGGTTGAAAGTGGTTGGGGTTGCGCTAATGAGCGGGGCAAGGCCGAAGGGGACGAATGCAAAACCACGAGAGTGTTGCACGTGGTGGAGAGGAGCCTCGACAACATCCGGAGGCTTGACAAAGAATCGTGAAGTGCCGGGCAGAGAATTTTGTTGAGTCAGCAGTGCACGCAGCTGCTCACGTAGCTCGTGTAGGGTACTGTTCAACCCTTCTGCTTCATTGCATTGTTGAACGCGATGACGAGGGGTTTGGTAGCAGTTGATGCCCGTGCCTTGCTCGTAGTCGTTGGAGGTCGTAGTGTGGTAAGCAGCTGCTCTGTAGTATAGGAAAGGCTGCAGCGCGGTACTGAGTTCGCTTGCTGCTATGGCCAGCCAAGCAAGGAGTAAGAGTATGAAATATGAAGGTAGTAAAAACCTTGAAAGTGCATAACCTTTCTCTTGAAGATTGGTAGTTGGAGAATTGTCAGAAGTCTTCTCGAGAGTAGTTGTAGCGTCGAATAATTTTTGAGTGAGGTGCAGATTTTCCTCGTGTTCTTGACTAACATCTTCCTTGATATTAACGGCAGGTGTGTCGGCAAGGATGTCGGTGGTGCTGCTACTCAGAGTTTCTTCTTCGCTGCTGCTGAGGTCAAGTGGTGGAGTGGTTACCAAAGCTACTGCTGCGATGATTGACGGAGCGTGAAGAGGAGCGGCATCTTCAGAAGGTTTTGCTGCTTTGAAGCGTAAGACGAATACGCCATTCTTGGTTTCTGCTCTTCCGATGTATGTGTTGTCATATAGTAACTCTTGCTATTGTGTCGTGCAGTTTCCGACAGTGCGGATTTTTTTTCTTCAAGAGTTGAAGAGTTGAGACTAAATTGAAGCCGAGGTTGTCGACGATTAAAACATTGGTAAGGCGTAAGGAATTTCCCGTATCGATTGATGTCAAAAGTAGACTGCCGATATTGTTTGCTGCAATTGTTTGACCGTTGGCGAGTGTGATTGGGCAGGGTTGAAGAAGTCGACGACGGTTGTAGATGAAAGGATTTGTTGAAGAGACCATATGGTGGCCACAACAACTATCCAAGTACCAAGTATCGGTATCTGTACTGCAATTGACCATGTGAGTGGATGAAGTAGGTAAACGAAATTTTGAAGTTACCGTATTAGTGGCAGAGTTTGAATTAGTGGCTGTTGGCTTTGATGAGTTGCTTGGAGGGACAGATCTGAGTGTCGTTGGTGGTGTTGATATTGCAGATGTTGCTTTTGGAGGCGCATGTTGATGAAAGGACTGCTTCGAAGGCTGACGTAGCGGCTGTGATGATTGCGACCTCTGCGATTCTTCAGAAGGTAAATACCTCTTGTTAAAGTAGCATCGGTCGGTAGAATGTCCTCCCTTGTTGCAAATTTGACAGAAGTGTCGAGGACGTCGAGTTGGTGTTGAATAGAAACTGAGTTGTATATCCCCCTTTTTGTTGCGTTGTGACTGCAGGTCAAGATCTTGCTGCTCTGCTTGAAGATACGAAGAAATTTCAGCTTCGGAGAGATTCGGGTTCATACGCAGGAAGGCGCACGTCTGTCACCATTCGGGTCCAAGGCCAGCAAGAAGGACCATGAGATACATCTCACGAGGGAAGTATCCTCCACTCTTCTCCAGTTGATCGCGTACTGTACGGACGCGATTAACGTAGTCCATGACGTTTTCGTTTGTTATCATCTGCACACTTGTCACCTGCGGAAGTATTTTACTCACTTTTATTGTATCCTTTGCCATGTATACCCCCTTCAGATGGTTCCGAGCAGTTTCGGCTGGTATAAAGCTTGAGTGAAATTATCGGATGCCGAGTTGCTCTTTCGGCGATAAGTTCTGAACAAGAACTATATACGCCCCGAGAGAGGCGTGCAAGAAATTTTGCTGCTCCAGTTGTATTCCCGTAACAGGATACGTGAACTCGCCGGTGAAGAACGGCCATAGCCCAGCGGACCGCGCCAGAAGCTCAAACTCGAAGCTCCAGGAGTAGAAGTCGACTCCGTTAAAAGGTATAGTGGTTTTTATCTGTGTGCTGTGAAGTAAATTTGGAGGATGAAAAACAATACCCGGCTGTTGCTGTTGTTGCTGTTGCTGTTGCTGTTGTTGTTGTTGCTGTTGTGGTTGTTGTTGTTGCTGCTGTTGCTGATATTTCTGTTGTTGTTGCTGAGCAGGGGAACGACCGAAGATATAAAAAGGATGCTGAAACTGCTGCGAATGCGGCTGCTATACGAAAGGTGAGAAAGCGAACGAACCTGTACTTGGAGCTGTAGCTCCACGCATGTAAATTGAGCCGTCAAGGCTCATTCCACTGAACGCAGATGAAATTGATTGCGTTGACACTGGTGGCTGTACTGACGCTTGTTGCTGTGCTGTTGTCTGTGATTGTTGTTGTTGCGCTGCAGGTGCAGTTGATGGAGCACCTGGAGTATTGACAGAAGATGGATTTTGCTGTTGCATACCGATATTAGCATAGGCTGATGGGAATGGCCCAGAGGCTGAGAGACCAGCGGCAGTAGTGGAGACATGTACTCTAGTAATTCCGGTAACTGATCCGGCAGATGGTGCTGGTGATGAACCAGTCATAGTTGACGGTAGTCTTAATTCCAGATAGCTCTCATACGATGAAAAATAAATCGTCCGGTGTTGTAATAGACTAAGTATAAAATATCAAGCCTAGAATTTTAATAATGTGAGAGAGAGAGTACACAAACATATACCTAAATGTTGTACTCTCTAGAAGGTGACCCTATACAGTCTATACGAACATGATAACTACACATGTTTGACACACCCCCTGGACTGCATAGGGGAATGTTCTAGACAAGTAGCTCAGGGTGGCACTACAAGTCCAGCCTCTGAGACAAGGGTCTAAAAGACCAGTCAGAAGGAGTACAGACAAGGCAAGAACGAGTACAGGGCGGCACTACTAGTCCAACCACTGTGAGAGGACACAAGTCCAGTCTGAGTGTATACATATATATATATACGACAGTACAAAGTCAAGGCCCGAGTAAGTGAGAGACTACAGGAACCAGACCAAGCTGTAAACAGTGCCGCTGATGATCTTTAGGCGCAAGCGCCTTCGTAAAGATATCAGCTGTGTTGGCACCGGAGGCCAAGTGTACTACGCGAGCCTGGCGCCGCTGCTGTAGCTCGCGCAGGAGGAAGTACCGCAGCTGGATGTGCTTCGCTCTGCCCTCGAGTCGAGGCTCCTGACACAGGAGAATCATGGCCCTATTGTCAGCGTACAGGACCGGGGCAGAGCTAGGCCGCTCACCTAAGTCAGTGAGCAAGAAGGTCAGCCAGCGGAGCTCCTGTGCCGCCATGGCACCGGCGTAGATCTCAGCCTCACAGCTGGACTGGGCAACCGACGAGGAGCGGGTAGCTCTCCACGAGACAGCACCTGAGCCAAGGCTAAAGCAGTAGCCCTGGGAAGACCTGAGCGTCTCGGCGTCGTCTGCCCAAGAAGCGTCTGTGTGTCCAGTAAGGACCACTGGCCTGCGTCCGCCTAGCACTAACCCCATGCCCGATGTACTTGCAAGATAACGCAAAACCCTCTTAGCGGCAGACCAGTGCTGAGGTCGGTGTCTGCCTGTGGCCACAAAACGAGCCAGGATGCTGAGAGGGTATGCGAGATCTGGGCGAGTGCAAGTCATCAGGTACATGAGGCAACCCACTAGCTCAGCGTAAGGACCACTGGGATCTACCGACTCCTCAGGAACTGGAGCGGAGAGTCTGTGGTCCAGAGGAAGAGGGGTGGGCTGTGCGGAGGAGAACTGAAGGCCGAACCTCTGAAGGACCTGGCGCACCAAGTGTGACTGAGTCAGGGTGATGGTGCGGGCGGCTCTGTCCCTGGAGATCTGCAAGCCAAGGTAACGGCGCAGCTCTCCAAGGTCAGTGCAGGTGTGTCTCTTCAGCAGCTCTGCCTTCACGGAGGCCAGTGCGTCCCTGTCAGCTGTGGCAAAGACCAGGTCGTCTACGTAGACGAGGATGTAGAACAGAGTCGAGCCAGCACGAACGAAGAGCGAGGGGTCTGCAGAGGACGGAAAGAACTGCAGGTCAGCAAGAGTAGCACGCAGCGTGTCGTGCCACTCACGAGGCGCCTGGCGCAGGCCGTAGACTGGGCGCCGCAGAAGCCACTGGGTCCCAGGGGGGAAGGTGCCAGTAAAGCCCTGAGGACGACGCAGGTAGACGTGCTCGTGAAGGCTGCCCTGAAGAAAGGCAGTGGAGAAGTCGAGGGAGTGAAGCTCGTAGTCACGCTGAGCCGCTACGTATAGCAGAACCCGAAGAGTAGTCATCTTCGGGGTAGGAGCGAAAGTCTGAAAGAAGTCCACCCCCTCGCGCTGACTGAAGCCTCTAGCCACGTAACGCGCCTTGAACACAGGCGGCTCTCCAGGAGGGCGCTTCACCTTGAAGAGCCAACGGCCATCGACCACGTTCACCCCAGGTGGGGGAACTGCGTCGACGAAGGTGCCGGTGGATCTCCAAGATGCCATCTCCTGCTCCATGGCAGCTATCCACTGAGAGGCCCAAGGTCCCGAAACCGCCTCAGCGTAAGTACGAGGGGTCGGGATGTCAAAAGCATCTGGGTCACCCTCAGGGACTAGCAGCATGGAACAGAGATGGGGAGCAGCCTCGGACAGGAAAGCAAGCTGAAACTGGCGGTCCTCCAGGACGTCACTGCCGAGGGCAGGAGCACCCCCGACAGACGGAGGACAGGCAGGGTCAGAGACCAGAGCGGAGGCGTAGTCAAGGCGGCGGGTAGAGGCGAAGTCAGCGACCGCAGCGACAAGGGCGTCAAGACTCGACACTGGAACAGACGGGTCGGTAACGAGAGAGGCAAGGACCCGAGGAACAAGAGGACGAGCGGCACGAAAGTAGTCAGACAGAGGAGGAGACGCAACGACAAGAGAGGACGGAGGAGGAGACGGGAGGAGGGGAGGACGAGACGCGTGGGAGCGGAGCAACATAGGGTGAGTGCGCGGGACGGGGGATACAGGACGAGCACGGGAGGGGCGGCGAGACCAGACGTGAGAGGGCGGCGTCGGGTCAGGAGACAGAGGAGGGGACACGGGTGGGGAACGAGGGGGAAAACAAGCCGGGGACGAGTCCGGCGGAGGGAACACGGGGCCGTAGACGGGAAGAGGGGGAGACGGCCGGAGAGGAACAGGCGCAGGGTCAGGGGACGGAAGGCCGAGCAGACGGAGGGCGAACACCGGCGGGGACTGCTGCTGCGGCGACACAACACCAACGCCAGGGCCACAAGCTGCGCGACGGCTACCTCCCGAACCCTCCACACCGGCACCCCCAGAAGGGACACCCCCAGAGCCCGAAACACCGCCAGCACCGGTACCACCCCCAGGCCCGCGGGGACAAGCCACGACAGGAGCCCCGGGACGAGTACCCACCTCAACTCCAGCACCCCCAGAGTCCACAAACAGCGGCAGCGACGACGGCGGCGGCGGCGGCTGCAGCGACGGCCTCGACGGCGGCGGCGGCGGAGACGACGGCTGCAGCAGCTGCGGCGACGGCGGCTGCGGAGGCGGTGGAGGAGGAGACACCGGGGGAGGGACAGACGGCGAGGACTGCGCCAAAGGACTACCAGAGTCAGAAGACTCGTCGACCGGAACGACCGACGGGAGGGGGGTGACGTGAGACACACCAGAGGGGGCCGGACGGGGGGGCGGGGGGGGGGAGGGGCAGGGGCCACCAGGGAGGGAGGAACCAGGAACAGGGGGGGAGTAACCGGGGGACCACGGTGGGGAAAGCGGCGGAAGAAGGAGACGGACTCGTCAAAGGTGACGTCGCGAGAGTGAAAGAAACGGTGAGGCGGCGGGTGGTAGAAGTGCCAGTCGGACGCGTCAAGGGGGAAACCGAGGAAGACGCAGGGGAGGGTGCGGGCAGTGAGCTTGTCCGTGCCAGAGGCACGAACGTGAGCAAGGCAGCCCCAGACGTGGAACGCAGACGCGTCACCAGGGGACCCGGTCCACAGAAGGGTCGGCGAAACCTGCAGCTGCTGAGGGTGCGGCCACAGGTTAAGCTGGTGAGCGGCGTAGCGCACGGCGAACGGCCACAGAAAATGGGGTGCACCGGCGTGGATCATGGAGGTGCGAGCCACCTCCATGACCAAACCGATGCGTCGCTCAGCGACCCCATTCTGCTGCGGGGAGTCCGGCAGGGTAAACGTCTGGGTGATGCCCTCCGCACGACAGAAGCGACCAAGGACACCTGAGGCGAACTCGCCACCCCGGTCGGAGTGGAGGCGCAAGGCAGGGAGACCGCGGTGGAGACGAGCAGAGACAAGCCAGGGGATGAGAACGTCAGGCACGTCGGCCTTCCGCTCCAGGGGAAAGACGGTGGTGTAACGTGTGAAGTCGTCGACAAGCACTAGGAAGAAGCGCTCGCGACGCGGCCCATGGACCGGGGCTGGGCCCCAGACGTCCATGTGCAGAGTCTGCAGGGGTGCGGTGGTAGGGGGAAAAGAGGAGGAGTGAGGGGCACGGCGGAGCCGGCCCTCGACACAAGGCGTGCACGGTGGGGCGGGGGATGAGGGAAACTCAGGGAACGAACCGGGGAGACCAAGGACGAGACCGTGCTGGGACATGTGACGCAGACACGGGAGTGCAGGGTGACCAAGGCGGTGGTGCCAAAGGAGAGTCGGATGAGTGAGGGACCGACAGGAGCACGCAGCAGCAACCTGGGTGGACGCAGCTACCTGGGGGGAAGACCCAGCCGGGGACGTCGCGGTGTCAAGTGTGAACAGGCCGGACACCGGGTCCCGGGGGAAAGTGGTAAGGGGGGCACCAGTGGCGGCCTCGGTACAGACAGCATACCGCTCGTGACCAGGGAACGTAGTGGTGACGCCAAGGTCCTGGAGGCAGCCGACACCAACTAGGTTCCTGGAGAACGAGGGGATATGCAGACCGGTGAGCGAACCTGAAGGAACCGCCGGACAGGGAAGGGAGGTGGAACTGCGGGCAAAGACGGGACCACCGGAGGGGTCAGCAAGAGTAACTGCAGCAGGAACAGGCAGCGGCGTCAGCGTCGTGGAGTCGCGGAAGAAACACCGGGAGGCGCCAGAGTCCAAGGTGAAGGAAAGCGCAGCAGTCGCGCGGGGCGACAGTGAAGCGGTGGAAGCACCGAGGCTAAGCAAAGCAGGAGATCCTACGCCTGACGCAGCAGGGGAGTCTACGCTAGGCACAGCTACACTAGGCAACACGGGGTAATAAGAGGGAAGCACACTAGAGTCATCGGCATACATCACATGCAAGGCTGCTACAATGGCATCCATGTCCAAGTCAAAAATCCGAATGCTACGCCTAAGCAAGCTGTGCCAGTCCGGGAGGTCGGGCGCCGGGCCAAAGCGCTGGCGGAACAGGTCGTCCAGACGACGAAAACAGCGAGGAGTGGAATGACCGATCTTACCGCAAACGAAGCCGCGGCGAGGACCGGTCTGGATCTGGTACTGACAGGGCCCGCCTCCAGAACCACCACCCGGTGCACCACCACGCGCACGACCACCACCAGCTCCAGGCCACCCAGGCGGGAGAGCACTCGCCGGCCTCGTCTGCGGCGGCTGCTGCGGCTGCTGCGGAGGCTGCTGCTGCTGCGGCTGCTGCAACGGTGGAGGCAGCGGGGCAGCTGGACCGGGCAGGGTCCCCACGTCCGCACCGGCACCGGACGACCCGCCTCCACCACTACCCCCACCCGCACCCCCGCCACCTCCGCCGCTCCCAACCTTGGGGCGGCGGCCCTTCCCCGAGCGGGACTGCACTGCAGCAGCAGTCTTAGCCACAGAGACAGAGCCGTCGGAGAAGGTACACTGAGCGGGGGCACAACCCTGAAAGATAGGGACCGGTACTGTACCGCTCGCCTGGGCTATGGAGCGGTGACGAGTCTCTATGGCAGTCAGGGTGTCAACAAAGTCGGTGAGGGTGAGAGCAGCAGGGTGGATGCTAAGGAACTGGTCGCGGGCGGCGGCAAGGCGGTCAGGGAGGCGGGTGGCAAGGAGGTAGAGGGTAGAGGTCATGGGAGGCTGGTGGACTCTAAGCTGTGCATCAGTGCAGGCAGCGCGCCAGGCCTCATCTATCGAGCGCAGGTGGGCAGCGAGGTCAGAGACAGTGGGGAAGGACGCCAGGTCAGGAAAGAGCAGGGGGAGGATCAGGCGACCCACTGAGGCAGCAGGAGGGGTAGAATAGCGCTTGATGACAGCATCGAGGTAGGCCTGGGCGGTAGTAATGGTTCTAAAGCGAGGGCGCTCAAGGGGGGGGAGGGCATTGCTAATGGCGAGCTGAGCAAGGGCATCGTGGGAAAGCCAGACAGAGCGGGCAAGGGCAGCGGCGGCAGTGGACTCGCGCTCAGCGGGCGTGGGATCAGCAGGCAGCACAGCAGGGGGGTCAGGACAGGGGAGCATACCGTCTAGGTGTGCAGAAAGCGGGTGGCCGTCCTGCCGCTGACCAGTGAGGTGGCGGCGAAGGTCAGCCAACCACGCCTCGAACTCCAGAGGCTGACCCTCAGCATCAAAACGAAGCTCAGCAGCCATGAGGGGCAGTGGAGGACAGTGGAGTGCGGTGTAGTGCTGTGCAGTGCGGTGCAGGGCGGTGCAGTGCGGTCCAGTGCGGTGCAGTGCGATGCAGTGCGGTGCAGTGCGGTTCAGTGCGGTGCAGTGCGGTCAGTGCGGTTCAGTGAGGTGCAATGCGGTGCAAGGCGGGGCAGGAAAGTGCAGGAGGGTGCAAAGTGGTGCGGGGAACGGGGGACAGTACCAGGAAGTATGGAGGGCCGGGGCAGGCGCGACGGGGCCGGGCAGGCGCGACGGGGCCGGGCAGGCACGTCGAGGCCGGGCGGCAGCGACAAGGCCGGGCGGCAGCTACGAGGCCGGGCGGCTGCGACGGGGCCGGGCGGCTGCGACGGGGCCGGGCGGCTGCGACGGGGCCGGGCGGCAGAGACAAGGCCGGGCGGCAGCTACGAGGCCGGGCGGCAGCGACAGGGCCGGGCGGCAGCTACGAGGCCGGGCGGCAGCGACAGGGCCGGGCGGCAGCGACGGGGCCGGGCAGGACACAGCAGGGCCGGGCGGGGGCGACGGGGCCGGGCGGGCGCGACGGGGCCGGGCAGGTGCGACAGGGGCCGGGCAGCTGCGACAGGGGCAGGGCGGGCGCCACAGGGCCGAGAGGCCGCGACAGGGCCGAGCTGGGGCGACGGGGCCGAGCAGGGGCGACGGGGCCGAGCAGGGGCGACGGGGCCCAGGAGGGTGGATACGGGGCCCAGGGAGGAGCGCGGCAGGGCCCAAGAGGGGCGCAACAGGCCCAGGAGGGGCGCTACGGGCCCAGGAGGGGCGCAATGGGGGCCCAGGAGGGGCGCGGCGGGGCCCAGGAGGGGCGCAATGGGGGGCCCAGGAGGGGCGCTACGGGCCCAGGAGGGGCACTACGGGCCTAGGAGGGGCGCGACGGGGCCTGGGAGGGGCACGACGGGGCCCAGGAGGGGCGCTACAGGGCCCAGGGAGGGCGCGACGGGTCCCAGTAGGGGCGCTACGGAGCCCAGGAGGGGCGCGACGGGGCCTGGGAGGGGCGTTACGAAGCCCTGGAGGGGCGCTACGAAGCCCAGGAGGGGCGCGACGAGGCCCAGGAGGGGCGCTACGGGGCGCGACGGGGCCTGGGAGGAGCGCGACGGGGCCCAGGAGGGGCGCTAGGGGGCGCGACGGGGCCCTGGAGGGGCGTTACGAAGCCCTGGAAGGGGGGCGCGACGGGGCCTGGAGGGGCGCTACGAGGCCCTGGAAGGGGCGCGACGGGGCTAGGGGGAGGGGTCGCGACTGGGCTCAGGAGGGTCGAGGCGAGGCTAGGAGACGCGACGGGAGGAGCGGAAGCGGTAGGTGGGGGGGGGGGGGGGGGGGGGGGTCGAAACCTACTCGTGATACCATATCAAGCCTAGAATTTTAATAATGTGAGAGAGAGAGTACACAAACATATACCTAAATGTTGTACTCTCTAGAAGGTGACCCTATACAGTCTATACGAACATGATAACTACACATGTTTGACATAAAACTGTAAACACGAACACTTGGAAAATCCTCAAGTGTTGGTCCAAGATCTTTACTGGAATGGTAGACTAGTAAGACAGCGGAAGTCTTATAGGAGTGAACCTGAGCACATGAACTTGTGGGTAGTTGAAGGTTGAATAACCTGAGCACATAATTCTGTGTAAAGTCAAGGTTAATAATAGAAAGGCATTACAAGGATTTATAGCTCTAGGGACCTGTTCGCTAATGTAGCTATTCGTCATACTATAGGGTCGCGACTGTTCGCGTGACTGAAACGACTCGTTACGCCTAATCGCGTAACTGAAGCGGTATGATGACGTCATCCTCGAGACCCGCGACGCTTTGCTGACATCAGCACTCGGACATGATTACTTACTGAGAAACTCGATACTGCTAGCTACACTGAAAACGGAACTTGCAGGATTGCAAAACTTCATTTACAACGCCCAAGTCTGACGCGAGGATTGAAAGTCTGAGCAGCGGTTTGGGCAAAATGACGAGTCTGACACAAGGTTAGTCTGACGCGAGGACGTAGAAATCTGCTCTGATTCCTTCGCCAAAATTACGCAGATACATTGTACGCAGTCAAGTCCGTCCCGAAACAAGGATCATATTCTACAATAGGCCTGATAAGTCAGGTTTTTTTTTTTTTTTTTTTTTTTTTTTTTTTTTTTTTTTGGCCTGAAAAAACATGCCACGCCCAAAACCCGACCCTGAAAAACAGGATTCTCACATGGGCGGCCATGAGTTATCAGCCTCCCTAAAACCAATCTGAGGCCCTGTTACAGTCCCTTGTACCCATCATTCTAGTCAATGTTTCTACTGTGAGAGTTACACCATACCCACATACCATACGAAATTTAGTACACTTTAATTATTTCAAGCCAAATATGGTACAGTTAGCATATCCTGTTCAACCTCATATCTACTGGTAGCAGAAACAGCTGAAGCCATTGAAAAGCTCAAGAGACTGGAAAAGAATCACAGAAAGTAAGACAGTGTAGCCTTCTTCCGGTTGCCTCCCTCCCCATACAGGTTATTCCACTCTTTCAGCTCTTGCATGCTTTGCGCTTCACCAGCCACACTGGCCGACACCTGGAGCATACAAGTAGGAAATCAAGTTAGCCAAATGCCCAGGTCGTGTCGTAGTTCCCCTGTGAGAATTGAGACACTTGCCTGATTCTTGGCTTTGCGAAAGTCCTCCAATGTTAGGGCTCTGAGATTCAGTGGCTCCTCATTACCATCCCCATTCTGAAGTGAGGAATGACAGGGATGAGTAAGACAAAAAAAAAGAAGACGAGAGGACAAATAAAGGGCTAAATGCAGAGGGACTTACTGCTGCTGCAAGTGCCTCCCTCAGAACGCCATAAGCTGCTGCAGTGCATAGAGTCTGCCAATCACCACCACAAAAGATGAGCCTCACATGATCCGAGGGAGAGCAGAGGAACTAAGTCAATTGACAGCAGCACAAGGGTAATCACCTTAAGGTCACTCCCTGAGAAGCCCTCAGTGAGTTGAGCAAGCTCACGGAAGTCAACATCAGCATCCACCTCCTCGTTCTTGAGAATGGACTGCAGAATGAGCTCCCTGTTCTCCAGGTCAGGCAGACCGACCATGATGCTGCAGCAGGGGTGCAGAACAGAGATAATGATGAGAGCTATGGCTAACAGACCAACCACAATGCTCCAACAAAGGCACAACGACATACCTTCAAATGATGGGGAACACGAAAAACATGGAACTTGGAAGGACAATTTTCTTACCGCCTCTGGAAGCGGCGGATGATAGCTTCATCCAGATCGAAGGGCCGGTTGGTGGCAGCCAGCACGAGCACCTTGCTGCTTGCCTTGGAAGCCAGGCCATCCCAGTGCGTCATGAACTCGTTCTTGATCTTCCTCATCGCCTCGTGTTCCCCTGCTCCCTTGCGCTGACCGAGCATGCTGTCCACCTGCAACCACGGAAAGCCAGATACAATCAGTTGGCTTGTTGGTACTCAGACGAGATGCAATTGCGAAGACAGGAAATGTGATGGTAAGGGGTCTTCTGGTCAGTACCTCGTCGATGAAGATCACAGTTGGTGCCACCTTCTCCGCCAGTGTAAAGAGAGCCCTCACATTCTTCTCATCTTCACCAAACCACTGCAGTTAATGGAACAAGCCAGAGTTAGGACCTCACAGCATCTCCCCTCAGCAAATTCCCCTTCGAGGGGTTTCAATTCAATTGACCCTTCAAACAAGAAGGGACAATCTCTCAACAAAATCCTCACCTTGGAGGTGATGGTTGACATGGAAACGTTAATGAAGCTGGCTCCACACTCGGTAGCAACAGCCTTGGCCAACATAGTTTTGCCGGTACCAGGAGGTCCAAACAGAAGGATCCCCTTGCATGGCTGCCAGACGGAAGTGCAGACTTGTCAGAGTTTTGGAAAAACGAATTGGATTGAAGAGAAACGAATTGCTTATTGACCGCTGACCTGCAGCAAGCCTCCCTTGTTGAAGATCTCAGGGTGCTTCAGCGGCACAAGGACCAGCTCACGCAACGACTCCTTCACACTCTCAAGCGCACCAATGGAATCAAACGTCACGCCAATGCTTCCAGAGGCCAGAATCTCAGGTCGAATGCGCTTCTCAAAGTCATTGTCATCCTGCAGAGATATAAAAATTCCGTGGGATTACCCAAATGTTAGCAACGGGATCCTGAAAACGATTAGACTGGCAGCATGGAATTGGCAGGCATGGTGCTGCAGATGCAGATGCTGCATGGTGGTAACTTCTATCTCCTCACAGATGCTGCTGCTGGAACAGGAGCTGGAGGTGGCTTCTTTGGAGTCGCCACCTTGGGAGAAGCAGTCTTGGCAGGTGCTTCTGCTGCTCTGGGAGTCTTCACAGCATCTCCCCTGGGCGTCCCCACCTTCGAGCCTCCACCTTCATCCGACTTGGGGATTCCAACTCGCAAGATGGCCTTGTTCACAGCCACTGGCTCCTTGGCCTGGGTCTGTACAAAAAAAAAGAGTTAGCACTATACATAGAAGCTGGCAATCTTGGTACGTAAATGCAATCCCAGCTACCTGGCCGTTGGTGATGGCCGTCTTCTCGTGGGATGTACCTTCTTCGTCAAAGAACAGGTTCAGGGAGTATTCCAGCCTGCAAGGACAGGCCAGAAGCTGTGAGCTCGGTGCCTTTGCCATGAATGACTCGCAAGGCTTGAAAAAGACACGATACTGACGCACCTCTCTCGCGTGATGTGGAACTGAGTGTTTGTGCAACCGGAAACCATCTGCTCTGATAACGCCATGTTTATAATGTCCTGCACGTCTGCACATATAGAAAGACAGAAGCATTCAACACTTGCCCTGCAAGAACCAGCACCTGTGAAAGCATGCCCAACAGCATACCATCTTCAGTCAGAGAAGCAGTGAAGTTGAACCTCGCATCTGCAACGTCTTCGTCGCATGTGACCTTGCGAGCCTTGAGCGCCTGGTAGGTATCAGAAACGTCCGGTTATGTAAGAGAATATCCTCATCCCTGAACATTTATAAGCAAGCTGCAACCCTCACGTACCAGGAATATGGCCTGCAGGTTCCGCTCGCATATCATGTAATGGGTCTGCTCCTTCAGCATGGCTCCCCACGCCTTCAGCTTCTCCGAGTCCTGCAAAGATAATATAGCAACTTGTTAGCGCCTGAGACATTTCGCCAGTCCAGCAGAGAAAACTTCACTCAGCTGGCCCACCTTAGGAGGAAGAACTTCCACTTCAGAACGGGATGCTCCATGCACATCCTGCACAGATTCACAAAAACGGGTAAGCAGGAGATGACTGTAATGTACATGTATGGAAAGAACACAAAATACGAGAGAACAGGACGCGGTGGCGATGTTTACCTCGCAGCTGGCAGTGCAAGACCCAACGACAAGAATGCCATGGGGCCCCTCCAGGCGCTTAGACAGCGATTGAGCAAGCGCTGCAGCGCAGCCATCCGCAGACGCCAAAAGGCAAATGACTGGACGTGCACGGGCGGTCTTAGAGATGGCCTGTGGAAAAGGAAAGGCCAGGTCGGTCACCTCGTTTAAAGAAAAATCAGTGATGTCAACAGGTTAATGAACAAGTGGCACCAGAGGCCAGCGGCGCTGTTGCTTACCTGAAGTGTCACAGTTGCGTTCCCTTTCTCCGTGAAGTAAGAAAGGCCCGACCCTGCCATCACAATCGACAAATGAGCAAATTCAATAAGGCAGCTAAAGCAGCTCAAGCGGCAACTAAGCAGCCAATTCCGTACCTCCAGTCCAAATCGCGAGCTTGCTACGGCTGCTCGACGATCCTCGCCAGTAAGAGCTCTGCAACATCAGGAAGAACGACGATAAGGGTCACAATAACCTGGACATCTAAGTCAATTAGCAACGGAGCACGAACCGGCCCCACACCTGCGAGAGGAGCTGGACAAACGAGCCGTCCAGGAGATACAAGGCCGCATCGAACTTCTTGGCGAGTCCCTTGCACAGCTCCGCCTGGAACCGCAGCGTCCCTGGAAGAAGCAACCTGCTACGTCAGGCACTCTTTCAAAAGCTATGAGGAAATCACGGCAGGAATGATAAAAAGCATCTCGTACCTTCAGGACCTCGCAGGGTGATCGAATTCGAGCGCTTGGAAGCACCGCCCTGAATGAATGTCCTCCCAGCCGATGCGGTGAGAAGCTCGCGAGTCTTCTTGCTGCGGAAAACAAAGATCAGTTCTTTAAGATCGTACGCTGCAGATCCATGAAACGCGAATCTCATGATAGAATAGCCGGCTCACTTCAAGAAGAACGGGAAGTCCTCGAGAGAGGCAACAATCTTGTCGGGAAGCCACGGTAGAACCTCGTCCTTCGAATTGGCAACTTTCGCGGAGGCGGCGTCGGGGGGGGATTTGTCCTCCTTCGCCGTACCCGCACTCGCGACCGCAGTGCGGGAGAGAGCTCCGCTGGAAAACGCGGCGACTCCTGCGGCGACCAGCGCTGACGTCACCACGACAGCCGTGCACGTAGCGGCACCGGAAGCTTGAGAGAGCTCCATCTCGCTGTTGGTTGACCGGCGGAGAGAGAGCTCGATAAAGAGTCCCTCAGCTGGTGAAGCGTTGAGCGTGGGACGGAGGAGGGTGGAAAGCCTCTCAGGCTCCGAAGCTCCGTTGGGTGCGTTGTTTGGTGCGCTGTTTTGCGGTCACAGCTGCTCGAAGAGAGAATGGTGGTTTAAAACGGCGTGGCCATGCCCCTCGGCTGCCCGGCCGCTGACATCTGAAGGGTAGTGGTTCTTCCATGCCTTGCAACGCCATGGTTGCCGGAAGCTTTGCTGGCGACAGGAACATTGGGAATGCCGTAAGCTCAGAATGTTGGTTCTATGGTGAAAGCTCATGGATCTTGGCTCTGTTGGCTCTTGGCTCTGTTGGCTCTTGGCTCTGTTGGCTCCTTGATTCCTCCATCGCTGGTGGATCTGTGCTTGGCAGCCCTTCATTCCACTCTGAGCTTTGTCTCTGCGTCAGCTGGTGCGTGGAGGGAATTGTGAATTCATGGCGGTTCGACTGCTGATCGGGGCTCGCGTCCTGGTTGGTTGAGAATTGCACGGGTAATGCCCCAGCAACGAAACCTCCACTTCCACGTGGCACCAGTTGAGACGATCCTGGAGAACAGTGATTGAAATAGTAGTTGAAGGTGTACAGAAAATACTTTTCTACACCTAGGATTGTGTATGGACAGATATTGCGTTTATTTGCGACCTCTCAAAACACGAACTGGTGCACACAGCGTTTTACGAGGACCCTTTCCCGAGAACTCCAGGAGTGACATGTCGGAACGCTACGGTACTGGCCGTCATTCCTACAGCCACAGCCATAGCCTCCGTTTCCAACGCGGGGCTTATCCCCTGACGACGTTCGTCACTGGCGGTTTCAATGCATCACGGGTTTGAGCTTCAATTACGTTCTAGCATTTGCTGACTGTTCCCAGTAGCGATATCCCTGGGGAAACTAGTCGCGAACGCGAATGGCGGAAGACAGTTCCAACATTGATAGCAGCACGCGCTTAGTCTCTGGCGACGACGAGCAGAATGTCGCATGCGGTCGCCGGCGACATCGCGTGCTGATGGTGTGCGACTTCTTCTTCCCTAACTTCGGCGGCGTGGAGAGCCACATCTACCTCCTCGCACAGTGCCTGCTGCAGCGCGGCCACAAGGTGACGTGGCGGCGAGGGGACATAGCAAAGACACGTGGCAGCAGTGCTAGAGAAAGTTTTAGGGGGGGAGGTTGGCCTGGCGTGTGGTGTGGAGGCGGTCAATTGCGGGCGTGAAAGGCAGAAGCTTATCTCGAGGCTCGATGAGACGAGACCGATTGGGGGTTGAATGAGATAAGATGACATGCGGATGGCCTGTTGGCCAAAAAGAGCTGTGAGGGAAAGCCTACCAACGAGTCCATGCCCATGCCCATTACCACCATGCTGCCATGCCACCATGCCGCCATGCCACCATGCAAACTCAATGCTCTGCGCCTTTAGGGGTTGAAGAGAGCTATGCGTGACCTCGTTCTGTCAGTGGCGTCATTTCCTCCCTTCCACTCCCTCCCAACCCTGCAGGTGGTGGTGCTGACTCACGCGTACGGTAACCGCGTGGGCGTGCGTTACCTCACAAACGGGCTCAAGGTGTACTACGCCCCAAGACGAGCAGTGTGGCTGCAGGTACGTGCTGAGATGGGTGTGCATCGTAGAGAGATGGGATTACATCTCTTGCCCCTTCGGCCACCCTTCCATCCATCATCCTCCATTCCTCCGTGCCCTTCCTTTCCTCCTCCCCTCTTTCCCCTTTCCCGTACCCCTCCCTGCCTTTATTCCTCGTTACAGTCATGCATCTGTGCTCTAGTGCCGTCTTCCAGTGCATGCCCCATCACACCCCTCCCATTCACCATTCATCCTCCCACCCATTGCCCCACCATATTCCTTCCCGCTAATCTCCCATGCCCTCCCACTTGCACCTCCGCCCCCCCTTCCTCCTCCCTTTCCCCTGCCTCTCCCTCCCTCTCTTCCACTCCATCAGTGCACGTGCGGAGTGCATAAACGTAGTGCACGGGCCGCACAGCGCTTGTTTTTAAGTCCCATCCGATCCTTGTTTCCTTCCACTCCACTACCTTCACCCCCCCATGCCACCCCCTGCCACCCCATGCCAATCCCTGCCAATCCCTTGCCGCCCAGGCCACTCCCCCCTCGCCCCTCCCCTGCCTGTCGCTGCCTCTCTTCCGCTCCATCATTGTCCGCGAGCGCATTGACATCGTGCACGGGCACCAGAGCTTCGCGCCCATGTGCCACGACGCGCTGCTGCACGCCTGCACCCTCGGCCGCCGAGCCGTGTTCACTGACCACTCCCTCTGCGGCTTCGCTGATGCTGCCAGCATCCACATGAACAAGGTGAGGTGAGGGGGGGATGTTAGCACTCATCGGGCGAGTGCCATGTCTAGCTGGGCAAGGGAATCTAGCATCCCCTGACCACTCGCTGTGTGGCTTCGCTGATGCTGCCAGCATTCATTCAAACAAGAAAACGCTTCATGGCTGTTACAGCTGCTCTTTAGTACAAGCCGTATCCCAGCGAAAGGAGGTCACAGTCAATCTTTGCACAGCACCAACCTCTGTTCTGCCTTCTTCTTCCTCCCTCTCCTCCCTTCCCTCCCATTCTCCTCCCATCACCCTCCTCCCCCAGCTGCTGCAGTTCTCAACAGCCGCCATCCACGCGGCCATCTGTGTGTCGCACACCAGCAAGGAGAACACCGTGCTCCGAGCCGCGCCCTCCCTGCCGCCGCACCGCGTGGCCGTCATCCCCAACGCTGTCGACGCCAACAACTTCCTGCCTGACCCCCACCGATGCGCTCCTGGCGCTGCTGCTGCTGCTGCTGCTTCTGGTGCTTCTGGTGGTGGTGGTGGTGCTGTTGGTGGTGCTGGTGCTCCTGGTGGTGGTGATGATGATGCTGTTGATCCTCCTGCTGCTGCTGCTGCTTCTGCAGATTGTGAAGCAGGGGGAAAGATTGGGGAAGGAGGTGAAGCGGGGGAGGGGGGCGTGGAATCACAGAGGAATCAGGGAGGAGGAGCAGAGCAGGGCAGGGATGGGGAGGTAGTGGGGGGTGGAGACAGAGAGGGGGCTAGTGGGGCAGGGGAGGAGGCAGTGAGAAAAGGAGGGACAGGGGAAGACCTGAGGGGTAGAGGAGGGGCAGAGGCACAGACAACAGCAGCTTCCCTGTCGTCAGCTCAAGGTGGCGAAACGAGAGTGGACGGGGCAGGAGCAAGGGGAAGCGAGGAAGGGGGGGGCATGAGGGTGACTGTAGCGAGTGGGGTGGAAGCGAGTGCAGGGGGCGACATGGAGGTGACTGGGAGGGGGGACATGGCAGCAGACATGGGTAGGGAGCTGGAGGTGACGATAGTGGTGATCAGCCGCCTGGTGTACCGCAAGGGCGCGGACCTGCTCGTCGACGTCATCCCCGCCGTCTGTGCGCGGTTCCCCAAGGTGTAATGCGATGCCATGCCCTCAGTGTGTTTAGAACTCTCAAATGGCCTGAGTGAGTTTTGAGAAATTTCAAGGGACACCTACAGGAGCAAGGGCGCCGACCTGCTGTAGATTAAAGCATAGATTGTACTGTAGACTATGTCATCTCACTGTGGTGGGTGGTGCTCCACTTTGCTAACTCTCGTTTGAATGACTTGGGCATTTTCGTTTTCAAATACTCTTCTGTTCTCCTCAACTTCCAAGGCTTTCTGATCTCACACACGGCAGGGGTGTGTGTGTGTGTGTGTGTCTTTGTCCGTGCATGTGTGGGTGTGTGCATGGGACTCCATTTCTCACACCAGGTGCGGTGGATCATAGGCGGCGATGGCGCCAAGAGGGGCCGGCTGGAGGAGATGCGGGACCGGCACGGGCTGCACCACCGTGTGGAGATGCTGGGCGCCGTGCCGCACAGCCAAGTGCGCTCCGTGCTTATCCGCGGCCACATCTTCCTCAACAGGTGCATCAATGCATGCGTGCGCTCATTCATTCATTCATTCATTCATTCATTCCTTCCTTCGTTCATTCGTTCGTCCGTCCGTCCGTCCGTCCGTCCGTCCGTCCGTCCGTCCGTCCGTCCGTCCGTCCCTCCTTCCCTCCCTCCCTCCCTCCCTCCCCCCCCTCCCCCCTCCCTCCCTCCCTCCCTCCCTCCCTCCCTCCCTCCCTCCCTCCCTCCCTCCCTCCCTCCCTCCCTCCCTCCCTCCCTCCCTCCCTCCCTCCCTCCCTTGCTCCCTCCCTTCATTCATTCATTCCTGCTGGTGAAGATGTGGCCGGCCGCGCAAGTGCGAAGCACCTTCTTCCAACCGCACTCGCGCAAATGCGCTCCGTGCTTGTACCCGCCTACATCTTTCTCAACAGGTGATCTTACAGAGCGTGCCTAATCTTGTGTGTGCACAGCACACTAGCTACTCCACCACGACGTCGAGATGGCAGACACGGTGCCTCACTCCCATGTGCTCTCTGTGCTCACTCCCTTGTGCCCGGCCACATCTTCGTCAACAGGTGCATCTCCCGAGCTGGATGCTGCTCCTCATCGCGCGCTTGCCCAAGCACCTATCGGCACCCCTCTCGTCTCCCTCCTTGTTCTTCGTCTTGTTCTTGCCACTCCCCTCCAAAACCTTTCCCCCTAGCACCCCGGCAATTGAATCCCCCCCAGCTCTCTCACCGAAGCCTCATGTTCTTCTAACTACCAGCCTCGTGTCCTTTGTCCCCTCACGTCTCTCCTCACACATCCCTTCACGTCTCTCCTCACATATCCCCTCAAGTCTCTCCTCACATATCCCCTCAAGTCTCTCCTCACATATCCCCTCAAGTCTCTCCTCACATATCCCCTCAAGTCTCTCCTCACATATCCCCTCAAGTCTCTCCTCACATATCCCCTCAAGTCCCTCCTCACATATCCCCTCAAGTCTCTCCTCACATATCCCCTCAAGTCTCTCCTCACATATCCCCTCAAGTCTCTCCTCACATATCCCCTCAAGTCTCTCCTCACATATCCCCTCAAGTCTCTCCTCACATATCCCCTCAAGTCTCTCCTCACATATCCCCTCAAGTCTCTCCTCACATATCCCCTCAAGTCTCTCCTCACATATCCCCTCAAGTCTCTCCTCACATATCCCCTCAAGTCTCTCCTCACATATCCCCTCAAGTCTCTCCTCACATATCCCCTCAAGTCTCTCCTCACATATCCCCTCAAGTCTCTCCTCACATATCCCCTCAAGTCTCTCCTCACATATCCCCTCAAGTCTCTCCTCACATATCCCCTCAAGTCTCTCCTCACATATCCCCTCAAGTCTCTCCTCACATATCCCCTCACGTCTCTCCTCACATATCCCCTCACGTCTCTCCTCACATATCCCTTCACGTCTCTCGCACACGTCCCCTCACACTGCCCTCCTCCTCCCATCTCCCCTCGGCCCGTCTTTGTCTCCCCCACACCCCCAGCTTGTTGTAAAATATATATCTATACAACATGCATGCCTAGATTAGGAGGTGTAGTCATTCTAGTTATTGGGGGGTTGTTGGTTGGGTTGACCAACCCCACATTTGGGTTGGTCAAGATTGGATTTGGTCTTAGACATTTGGTTGGCACTATTCCAACCAAATGGTCCTTGAACCTAAGAACCAACCAACCACCAAGCACCACACTTTGTGGTTGCTTGCCTTCCAAGCAACCTCTCCCATTGGTCCACATTGTGGCCAATCGGAGAGCACCACACTTTGTGGTTGCTTGCCCTACAAGCAACCTCTCCCATTGGTCCACTTTATGGCCAATAGGAGAGATTCCCTTTCAACTCTTCCTTGCTCCTTGTTTTTTGTACAATAGAGCCTCTTGTCTCCCTACTCAATTCAATCCTTTCTCCTCCAAGCTACTTCCTTCACAGCTCTCCCACTGCAGCCTTCTGCGTCGCCATTCTGCGTTTCAGGCTCTCCGTTGATGCAGGTCCCTTAGCCCCTCGCTTCCTGCCCCATCCGCCCTCTCCCCACCATCTCCCCCCCCACTCCCCCGGCTCCCTCACCGAGGCCTTCTGTATCACCATCCGTGAGGCTGCCTGCTGCGGGCTGCTCGTTGACTCAAACCACTGTTCTCCTCTCTCCCTGTCCTGCCCATCCTCTCCCCATCATGCCCCCCCCCCCAACCAACCCTCCCACCCAGCTCGCTCACCGTGGCCTTCTGCATCGCCATCCGTGAGGCTGCCTGCTGCGGGCTGCGCGTAGGCCCAAGTCACTTTGCTCCTCCCTCCCTGTCCCTCCCGCCCGCTCCCCTCCCCAACGCCCCCAGCTCGCTCACCGAGGCCTTCTGCATCGCCATCCTTGAGGCTGCTTGCTGTGGGCTTTTCGTTGTGGCCACACGCGTGGGAGGGGTACCCGAGGTGAGATGGGGCAGGGAGAGGGGTGGCGAGGTGAGGGATGGGTGGGGGTGGGGGGTGGGGGATGGGAGATGGAATGGGGTGGTGGTGGGGGGCGTGGGAGGGGTGATTGAGGTTCGTTTGTACTGTTTCTTAACTTCTCACCCTCTCCTCTCCATCTCACTGCCTGTCAAACCCTCCTACCGTGACCAACCCTTGTCCCTATTCTTCCCGCTCCCCCACTCTCCGCATGGGTCTCCCCTTTCTCCTTCCCCCTCCCCTAGCTCCCATCTCCCCTCTCGTCTCCATGTCCCATTCAAACTTTCTCCTCCCTCCTCTCCGGCTTCTCACCTTCCATCCTCAACTTTAGTTATCCTTCGTGGCATGCTGCTTCTGCTTGAATATGTCAATCAAAATTTAGAATGAACTGCCATTTTCTTGTTCCCCTGATCTTGGTTAAAGCCCGCGTCTCATATTTCTCCAAACCAAAGGTACTACCTTTGCTAGGAGAGAGTGATTGGAGGGCGAGATACGAAATATTTGGGGAAAAGTTGCGAGGGCTGCGAGCAAACAGAAAATCGCGAAACCCTAGAAACTTGGCCAACTGCCGTGTCTCGTAATTCTGGAGAGCTGTATTACGGTTGGTTTGGCCTCCGAAACGGTGAGGGCGTGAACTTAGGGTTGGCTGTTTTCTAAAGTTCGAAATCAGTTGCGTTTTCGGTTCAGTTTTTGTGTAGCTCTGGTTTCATGCGACATTTCCCTGAAGCTAGTTACGGAAACCTGTATCCTACCGTAGCCACCCGAACGCGACCTGAGGATCACGTCCCCTTTTCGGTTCGAGGTTGGATATTTGTTCTCCCACGCACTTGCGAACCCTCGCATTCTGAGAGGCTTGGTTACCTAGTACCAAAGGTATTACCTTTGACGTCTCTAGAGAGAGATAAGACGCGGGTTTTAACCCTCCCGCCCACCCTCCACACCCTCCTCCCCCCGCACAGGTGCTTCCCCCAGACATGATGTTGCTGGCACTGGCGGAGCCCAACCCTCCCCCCATAGCCACCTTCCTTTTTGCATCTCTCTCGCTTCCTCTGCTGCTCTCTCCCCCACTCCCATCGCCTTCCCCCCTGCCCAGGTGCTACCCCCTGACATGATGCTGCTGGCGGATTCTAACCCTCACTGCATGGCCACCGTGCTACTTCCTTGTGCTCGCGCCCCTCATCTTCTTCCCGTATGTATGAACTGCTCTTCCCTCATCCCCACCTCTTCCCCCCCCCCAACCCCCCCCCCCCCCCAGGTGCTCCCCCCCGACATGATGCTGCTAGCAGACCCCAACCCTCCTGATATCGTGGAGGCCATTGCCCAGGCCATTCAGATTGTGCCACGTGTCAACCCCCAGGCCATGCATGAGAGGGTGGGTTTCCTAGTGTCTACCTCCCCACACACTCCAAGGGTGGGTTGCATTCAACCCATCCTCTTTCCTGCCTGTCACAACGACCTCCATCCCTCGCACCACTGCCGCTCCGTTATCTCTTGCAAAGCTTTGGCTTTTTTTGAGTGCACTCGTGCTGGTACTGCCAATGGCTGCCGTCCGTTTGGGGATACGCATCACGTTACATTCGTATCTCCCCCGTGCACGTGTCTCACATGTACAGCTGGCATGACTTACATACACCTCACTCTCACCCCTGCCTTCCCCCCCCCTTCCCCACAGGTGTCGCGCATGTACAGCTGGCATGACGTGGCGGAGAGGACAGAGCGGGTGTACGACCGGGTCATGGACATGCCGCTGGACGACCTGCCCTCTAGACTCACCAGGTCAGCCTGCCCCTTGTCCAGGTGGGCTGGGCGCCCCTCGTCCAGGTGGGCGGGGTGCCCCTCGTCCAGGTGGGGCACCCCTCGGTGTGAAGCGGTCGGTGCATTGAGGTGCCTGAGAGCAGAGTGTGTGTGCAACAGGTCGTGGACATGCCCTTAGACGACCTGCACGCCCGACTCACATGTACCTGTGGTTTCTCCCTCTCAGCTCTCTCACATTCCAGCTGCTTTCTAGCCTTAAAATTGCATTCCCCTCAACAATATTCGTCCGTTGAAATATTTTCTTTGTCCAGGTACTACGCATGTGGCGTGGTGGCGGGGAAGATCTTCTGCCTCGTGGTGCTCCTCAACTCGCTAGTCGCTGCTCTCCTCGCCTACCTCCAGGTGCGTTCTTCCTCTATCCACGGCCCCCCCTGCGTTTCTTGGCTAGTTGAGGTTCAGCTGTTAATGACACAAATTTCAAAATCCTCCTAATCAATCCATGGTGTTGTGGGTTTAGTCCCGTCACTCCCATCATACACCATCATACCCCATCATACCCCATCATATCCCACCATACCCCATCATACCCCATCATACCCCATCTTCCCCCATCATCCCCCATCATACCCCATCATACCCCATCGTACCCCATCATACCCCATCACCACCCATCACCCCTATCAGCCGGAGCAGCGCATAGAGGTGGCGCCTGACTTCCCCCTCATGGCCAAGCCGCAGCCCCTGCCAGCCCCAACGGGCACGAGAGAGGCGCACTCATCTTGATGCTCCTTCCGCTTCTGGCGTAGAGGTGGCTCGCCAGCCAGAGTTACTAATACCGCTCTTTTCTCTCTTGATGGGGAGAAAAGGAGAAAGGGAGGGGGGGAGGAGGAAGGGGAGGAGGAAGGGGAGGGGGGGTGAGAGGGGGGGGGGGGTTTGGGAGGGAGGATGGGCGAGCCGCGAGGCTGGCTGCTCCAAGTACCTGTGTCTCGGGGGTGATGATTGTCACATGCCAATTGTTTATACGCGTCCGTGCAGAAATTATTTTTTATGCAGTGGCCCCTGTGCAATGAAGAGCAAGTTAGAGCATGTTCCTTCGAGCCTCTTCCTAGGCAACCTCTTCCCAGACTTGCGCGTGACCTTAGAGCGTGTTCTCAGGATCACTTTTCGGAATACTCCTGTTTCATATTTGCGTTCCACTGCTCTCAACCACATAAAACCAGCTGGCGTCGAAAATTAACTGTGCAGATTCGCGCGCGTCTGAAAATCTGCTCGTCTAAAAAGAGGTTTTAAAACACACCCCTGAATATCGTGAAGGCGATTCTCACTTCACACTTCGCGGAACCGCACTGAAGCATTTGGCGTCAAAATTTGCGACTCTGTAGCACACGAATCTGGGAAGAGGTTGCTTGGGAAGAGGCTGGTAGGTACATACTCTTAGATGGTGATACGATAACCTCTGTGTGCAGGTATAGACTGACCTAGTAACTTTGTAAGCATGCAGCCTTGCAACCACATTTAGGTAACCGAGTAACCTAAACCCAGAAATTGCCACGTCAGCTGAATCGCTTCTGGAGACGCGACCATCATCTGCGTTGAGTTGAGTCATGTGTGCCGCATCTGTGCCATCTGTGCGTCACTCGCCCCACTTTCCACCACCAGTCAGTCAGTCGGTCGGTGACTGGTTCTTCCGTCCCCCATCCTTCCATCCCTCCCACCTTCCCCAATCCCATCCAACCTTCCTCCTCCTCCTAGCTGCACGAATACAATCATGTGAGGCCCTACTCCAAAATCTGGAATTCGAGTTTAGGAAATCCCGCTTCCCTAGCAGCTCTCGAGCGTCACATTCTCCGGATCACGTCGCACGTGCTCTCAGAGCGTTCTTGTGGCACAAACCCCCGGAACTTTCGCTTCGCGCTCCCCCGGAGAAATGTCGCCCTCCAGCCCCTTCGATAACGACGCGCTTCCGCGCACCGCGGCGAACTACGCGCCGCTGACGCCGCTGACGTTCATCCGCCGTGCCGCAGACGTGCACGGCGACCGCTGCGCGCTCGTGTACCGCGGCCAGTCATGGACGTGGCGGCAGACCCTCCGCCGCTGCCGGCGACTCGCTTCCGCGCTGCGACGCCGCGGAATCGGGAAGAACGACACGGTTGGTACCTTTGGGCGGAATCGCGGGTGCTAGGGCCTCCTCGTACTCTGTCTTTATGCACCCCCCGCGTGCCATCCAGCGCGCAATCCCCCCCGCCAGTGGTTCCCCCAGTCCCCTCCAGCCAACCCCCCATGTTGCAATCCCCCCTGCTACCTCTCCCCCGTTCCTCATGGACCACTCCCGCCTCGCGCCCCTCCCGCAGAAATAAACAGCCCGAAAGGACCACCTGGGGGATGTAACGCCGACATGCGGTGCTGCCCTTCCTGTCCCACTCCTGTCGCACTCCTGGCGCGACTTGCCGCCGCAAGGACCAGCAGCCGGTGCAGGCGCGCACCACGCGTCTCCTCGTGCGTGCTGCCACGATCCCCCCACCCACCCTCTTGGGATTGACCTTCCCCGCCCCCTCCCTTCCCTTAGCCTTTCCACCTTCCCCCTCCCCACATCCAGGTGTCAGCACTAGCACCCAACGTTGGCAGTGCTCTTGACAGGCAGGCGTCCACGGCATGTGCTTCTTTCTGCCCTTAACTTAACCATCACAAGAACTTGACCATCACAAGAACTTGACCATCACAAGAACGTTTGGACTGGAAGCGGCCCAAACAGGGAAACCCCCACCCCACACCACCGACGCTCCCGCTCTCCGCGTGTGAGTGGTAGCCCCCAACATCCCATCCCAGCGGCCTACACCACCCACTTCGGATCGAGTCCCCATGACGGGCAAGGTGCTGCACGCCATCACCACGCGCCTGCACGCCCTCTTGTGCCTCGCGCCCTCCCTCCCCCCCTCTGCCCCAGGTATCCGTGCTGCCCCCCACCATCCCCGCAGCGTACGAGGCGCACTTCAGTGTGCCCATGGTGCCCGCTGCCCTCAACGCCATCCCCACGCGCCTGCACGCCCCATGTGTCTTTCGCCTTCCCGCACACACTCCCTCTACACCCGCCCACACACTCCCCCTACACCCCCCCGCACACTCCCTCTACACCCCCCCACACACTCCCCCTCCACACTCCCCCCTCCCCTCCCTCTCTCCCCCAGGTGTCAGTGCTGGCGCCCAACATTCCAGCAGTCTATGAAGTCCACTTCGGCGTCCCCATGGCGGGCGCCGTGCTCAACGCCATCAACACGCGCCTGGACGCGCGCACCGTGGCGCACATCCTGACACATGGCGGTGCGCGATTGGTCATGGCGGACCGCAGCCTATCCCCTCTGCTGAGAGATGCGCTGCTGCTGGTGCCGGGGTTGCTGCGGGAGAGCAGGGCGAGGGGGGAGGGCAGCCGCATGACGGAGTTGCCCCAGGTGGGTGCTGCTTGGTGAAGTGCTGTAGTGCGCCAGACCTACCCCAGCCGCATGAAGTGCTGTAGTGCGCCAGACCTACCCCAGCCGCATGAAGTGCTGTAGTGCGCCAGACCTACCCCAGCCGCATGAAGTCCTGTAGTGCGCCAGACCTACCCCAGCCGCATGAAGTGCTGTAGTGCGCCAGACCTACCCCAGCCGCATGAAGTGCTGTAGTGCGCCAAACCTACCCTAGCCGCATGAAGTGCTGTAGTGCGCCAGACCTACCCCAGCCGCATGAAGTGCTGTAGTGCGCCAGACCTACCCCAGCCGCATGAAGTGCTGTAGTGCGCCAGACCTACCCCAGCCGCATGAAGTGTTGTAGTGCGCCAGACCTACCCCAGCCGCATGAAGTGCTGTAGGGCGCCAGAGCTACCCCAGCCGCATGAAGTGCTGTAGTGCGCCAGACCTACCCCAGCCGCATGAAGTGCTGTAATGCGCCAGACCTACCCCAGCCGCATGAAGTGCTGTAGTGCGCCAGACCTACCCCAGCCGCATGAAGTGCTGTAGTGCGCCAGACCTACCCCAGCCGCATGAAGTGCTGTAGTGCGCCACACCTACCCCAGCCGCATGAAGTGCTGTAGTGCGCCAGACCTACCCCAGCCGCATGAGTTGCTGTAGTGCGCCAGACCTACCCCAGCCGCATGAAGTGCTGTAGTGCGCCAGACCTACCCCAGCCGCATGAAGTGCTGTAGTGCGCCAGACCTACCCCAGCCGCATGAAGTGCTGTAGTGCGCCAGACCTACCCCAGCCGCATGAAGTGCTGTAGTGCGCCAGACCTACCCCAGCCGCATGAAGTGCTGTAGTGCGCCAGACCTACCCCAGCGCATGAAGTGCTGTAGTGCGCCAGACCTACCCCAGCCGCATGAAGTGCTGTAGTGCGCCAGACCTACCCCAGCCGCATGAAGTGCTGTAGTGCGCCAGACCTACCCCAGCCGCATGAAGTGCTGTAGTGCGCCAGACCTACCCTAGCCGCATGAATTGCTGTAGTGCGCCAGACCTACCCCAGCCGCATGAAGTGCTGTAGTGCGCCAGACCTACCCCAGCCGCATGAAGTCCTGTAGTGCACCAGACCTATCCCAGCCGCATGAAGTGCTGTAGTGCGCCAAGCATGGCAGATCGCTGCTTCTGCTGGGGCTGCTGAGGGAGAGGGGAACGAGGGGGGAGGAGAGGCGGATGGCAGGGCTGCCTCAGGTGGGAGCTACTTAGCGTGAGATGAAGTGACACGGCGCAGCTTGCTCGTCCACGCATTGCGATCTGCCCTCAATGCTCCCCGCAGAGTCACTCACCTCCCCTCCTTTCCTTTCCTCCCCACTCCCCGCTCTCCACACTGCTTTCTTCCTTCCTCTTCCCTTTGCTCCTCCACCCTTGTCCTCATCCCGCCAACTGTCTGCCGCCCTCGTCGCCCCTCCAGGTTGTCATCATTGAAGATGCTGAGATGGAGGCATCCGATCAGAGCGATCCAGGTGGCAGTGCTGCTGACGTGGCAGCCCTGGGAGCATCAATAGGCACCTCGTTCTTGACTGGTTCACCCAGGTCCCCTGGGGGCACAGGCGGCGGGAGACGAGGGGGAGGGGGAGTGGTGACGTATGAGGAGCTGCTGCTGGAGGGGGATGAGCGGTACGAGTGGGAGGGGGAGGGGGGAGGGGAGGGAGGGCAGGGTGGGAGGGGAGGCGTGCCGTCGGACGAGTGGGACTCCATGGCGCTCAACTACACCTCTGGCACCACGGCCAAACCCAAGGTGCCATTCTGCTGGGATACGGCGACCCTTACGGTTTGTTTTGGTGGGTGGGCATTGAAGCGAGCAGGCAGAGGGTAGTGGGGTGAGGTGAGTCGTCGCATGTGCTGCAGCAGTCTGCATGCTGGCCATGGGTGATGCCATGGGTGGTGCCATGGGTGGTGGCATGGAAGGCATAGAGAGGTGTCGTGTGGTGGGGCATACAAAGATTCATGTTCATTGAGAGTAAGAATGTAACAGAGGAGTTTGGAGTTGCAGAGGTGCACAAATGAATGCATCTTTTGTTTGGACGAAGATGCACAAGTATGGAGGGAGGTAGTAAAACGTTGAAGTAGAAGGCTGGTTGAAAGCAATGCAGAGGCACACGGGTCTCTCTGCGTGTCCGTGGCACAAAGGAGGCACACGGTCTCTCTGCGTGTCCCTACATGTACCAACTGCCCCCTCCTCCCAACCCACCACCCTTGCACCCACCGCGACTACCACCGCTACCACCCCCAGGGTGTCGTGTGCAAGCACAGGGGATTGCACCTGCTAGCCCTGGCCAACGTGCTCACCCGGGACCTGCACGCTGTGCGTGGGACCTGCACGCTCTGCGTGGGTCCTGCACGCTGTGCCTGGCAACTCTCGTGCCCGGTGCTGGCCTTTGTACCAGACTGTGCTGCCGCCTGCCTTGCCCATCCCTCCCCTGTACCCCACCACTCTCAGGGCGTGGTGTACTCGCACAGGGGCGCGTACCAACGTACTCGCCGGGATTTAACACTTTGTGACGAACTCTTGCCCTCCACTGGCCTCTATATCAATCTGCTGTTGCCACCTGTCTTGCCCAACAACCCCCAGGGCGTGGTGTGCACGCACAGGGGTGCGTACCTGTCAGCGCTGGCCAATGTGCTCGCGTGGGGCCTGCACGCGCTGCCGGGTGGGCAGCGCCCCGTGTACCTGTGGACGCTCCCCCTCTTCCACTGCAACGGCTGGACCTTCCCCTGGGTGCTGGCCGCTGTTGCCGGCACCAACGTGTGCTGCAGGGAGGTGCGTGTGCTGGGGGGAGCATGGTAGGAACAGGGAAGGGCGCTGGTAGGAAGGGGGGTCTCGCCCACCCCCATGTGTGCCTGTGGACGCTCCCTCTCTTCCACTGCAACGGCTGGACCTTTCCCTGGGTGCGGGCCGCTGTGGCGGGGACCAATGTGTGGTTGCAAGAGGTGTGTGTGATTCGTTCAGGCGTGGCTGGAATTAAGAGATGCCCCTGTTTAACGCTCAGTGTCTGTTTAACGCTCAGTGTCTGTTTAATCCGTGTGTAATGAGTCGATTTTTGAGTCGACTCAAAAATCGACTCATTACACACGGATTTTTGAGTCGACTCAAAAATTAACGCTCAGTGTCTGTTGAACGCTCAGTGTCTGTTTAACGCTCAGTGTCTGTTTAACGCTCAGTGTCTGACTACCTTTAGGGATCTAGGCCTTCTAAAAATCATCAACCTGTCTCCCTCCTCTCCCCCCCGACCCGTCCCTCCCCATCCCCACCAGGATACATCACCCAGCATCTTAATGCTTATTGTCTGCAATGCAGTCATCCACTTGTTTGGTGCCCCTATCTTTCCTTCCCCTCCCCCTCACCTCACCTCACCTCACCTCACCTCACCTCACCTCACCTCACCTCACCTCACACCACCCCAACCCCCCCTTCTCTCCTCCTCCCCTCACCCTTACCTCACCCCGCCTCTCCTCTCGTCCCCACCAACAACCCTGTGCCCTCCCCCCAGGTGACTTCAGCCAGCATCTTGTCGCTCATCCCACGCCACAACGTCACACACATGTGCGCCGCGCCAGTCGTCCTCAACTTCCTCATCCACGCGCCCGACTCCATCCGCCTGCCCTTCCTGCAAGCCCAACGCACCCAAGCACTCAGCAGCACCAGTGGCAGCACTGGTGGCAGCAGTGGGGGTGACAGTAACGAAGGCAGCAGCAGCCGGGTGGAGGGGCGGCGGGTGAGTGTGATGACAGCGGGGGCGGCGCCGCCCCCGGCAGTGCTGGGCGCGATAGAGGCGATGGGGTTTGAGGTGCTGCACACGTACGGGCTCACGGAGACGTACGGGCCGTCCGTGGTGTGCGAGTGGCAGCACGAGCGGTGGCGGGACGTGGATGATGGGGAAAGGGCGCGGCTCAAGGCGAGGCAGGTGAGGATGGGTGGGTGGGCGGTGTGGAGAGGTGCATGGGCGGTGTGGAGAGGTGCATGGTTGTGGGGGCTAGAGAGAGCAGGCCGGTGGCCACATAGGCGGAAATGGTTTGTGGCATGCAACCATGTGACCGTGTGAGAGTGTAACCATGTGGCCATGTGGCCATGGTGTGAGCAAGGAGAGAATCCAATAGGTCGGATAAATGTGAGACTCAAAGGGTAGTTGGATTGGATAAGGAGAGGGCTTACATAGTTAGATTAGAAGGGAAGGAGGGGGGGGTGATTGGGTCCTCTGCCAACATTATTGGCTACCACAAATACGTTGGGTTGGCCAAAGTTTTGGTGGGTCCAATATTCCTGGCTAAGTTTCTTGGGGGTCTCAATAACTGAGGACCCAACTCTTAAAGGTCATTAATGCCCAATAAAGGGAACCCAAGCCTTTTGGGAACCCAATCGGAACTAGGGTGGTTAACCCTAGTATACACTATGTTATACTAGGGTGGCTATAACTCCCCAAAAATGAGATAATAGAATAGACGGACATTCTAACGCATGTGACCCTGTGACTGTGTGACCATGTGACTATGCAGAAGTGTGACCATGCGTTGTGGTTGTGAGGCTTTGGGCTTTGGCCATTAGACTGGACGCACGTGGATTGATGTGTGAGCACCCGCCATGTGGTATGGGGCGTGACATCTCATGATGTGAACGGTCAGCTCCGCTGCCTCCCCTCTGCCTTTCTCGTTCATTCCACTGAGCTGCGTCCTCCCATCATCCCACCCATGCCTGTAGGGCGTGCGGTATGTGGCGCTGGAAGGCCTGGCTGTAATGGACCCAGTCACAATGCGCCACGTGGCAGCGGACGGGCGCAGCGTGGGCGAGGTGATGATGCGCGGCAACATGGTGATGAAGGGGTATGCAGGCAACCTCGGCGCCACTGACGCCGCCTTCCAAGGCGGGTGGTTCCACTCTGGCGACCTTGCTGTGATGCACCCCGATGGGTACATCGAGATCAAGGTGAGACGCACCGTTGCTTTGTGAGCATGAGATAATCACACATCAGTAACACGTTCTAATAGTCAGGTACAATGAGGAGCAGCATCCGGTCACAGTGCATCTGGTGGGATCGTCACAACAGCAGGCGGCATGTGCGAGTGATCGCTGTGCCATATCCTCTTCAAATCCACAAGCAACGCCGTGCGCCTCTTCTCCTCGTGTCTTGTCTTACCCTTTCTTCCCACAACCTCTCCTCACACCTACCCTCTCCGCGGCCCTCCAAGATCGGGTCAAGGGCATAACATGAAGTGGAGGAGATGAGGTGAGCACCATACCAGTGGAGCGCTGCTACATGCATGAGCTTGCCCACCCTGCCGTGCTGGAGCCAGCAGTCACGGCCCTTCTCTCTTCACCCTTCCCCCCCCCCCCTCCACTTTCCCATGCTCTTTCCCTCTACCTTTTCCCCCCATCTCAGGATCGGTCCAAGGGCATCATCATAAGCGGAGGGGAGGATGTGAGCAGCATAGCAGCAGAGGCGATGCTGTGTGCCACCCAGCAGTGCTGGAGGCAGCAGTCAAGACCCTTCTCCTTTCAACTCCCTCCTCACCCCCCACCCCCCGCTCTCCCCTCCCACCGACCCCCGCTCCCTCATGGGGTCGCCCTCTGCCCTGTGCGTGCAGGATCGGTCCAAGGACATCATCATAAGCGGCGGCGAGAACGTGAGCAGCATAGCGGTGGAGGCGGTGCTGTACCGCCACCCGGCAGTGCTGGAGGCAGCAGTCGTGGCCCGCCCTGACACCACCTGGGGGGAGTCCGTGTGTGCCTTTGTGTGCCGCAAGCCGGGAGAGAAGCATGCGCGCGTGGGCGAGGGGGATATCATTGCTTTTTGCCGGGACCACCTGCCGCATTACATGGCACCGAGAACCGTTGTTTTTTCGGAGCTGCCCAAAACAGCGACAGGCAAGATTCAGAAGTTTGTTTTGAGGGAGAGGGCTAAGGAAATGGGTAGTCTTGGAGGTGGTGCCAGGCCAAAGTCTCGCATGTGAGTAGTGCATGCATGGCTGTTGTGTAGTGATGCTTGCTGCTGTGCTTGCAAGCAGGGCCCAACATAGATTTTGGGCCACCCTTTGAAAGCAGGGTCGCTCTGTTCGAAGTTATCAAACAACTTAAGGGCATATTCCTACGCTATGGTGTTCAGTACCAGAATGGGGAATCCCGTGCTTGAACAGCGTGCTGTATTAGCCGATTTAGAGGACGGTGTTCAGTACCGTACCAGGAAAGCGAGGTTCGCAAGCGTCGGCATGGCAACCAAACGTGTGAAACGTGAAAGAATTTGAAAGGTGGTGCAGGAGACTAAGTATAGAATCTGCAGACACAAGTACCGTACTTGAAGTAGAAAGTAACACTGGAATGTCAACTTATACATATGCTGTATGTAGAAGTAATAGGCTAGCATAGGTGTGTGCTTCTAGTGAGTACAACCCCAACAGGTACATGTTCTAGGTTTCTCACACTAGTCATTCATTCTCTCTTTCTAACATGGTATCATGAGTACGTTAGGTTCCTCTCGCCCGCCCACGCTTCCGCCCTAGCCCCTAGCCGCCCTCGTGACCCGCCCCTAGCTGGCCCCCTGGCCGTCGCGCCCGCCCCTAGCCGGCCCCCTGGCCGTCGCGCCCGCCCCTAGCTGGCCCCCTGGCCGTCGCGTCCGCCCCTAGTCGGCCCCCTGGCCGTTGCGCCCGCCCCTAGCCGGCCCCCTGGCCGTCGCGTACGCCCCTAGCCGGCCTCCTGGCCGTCGCGCCTGCCCCTAGCTGGCCCCCTGGCCGTCGCGTCCGCCCCTAGCCGGCCCACTGGCCGTCGCGCCCACCCCTAGCTGGTCCCCTGGCCGTCGCGTCCGCCCCTAGCCGGCCCCCTGGCCGTCGCGCCCGCTCCTAGCTGGCCCCTTGGCCGTCGCGCCCGCTCCTAGCCGACCCCCTGGCCGTTCGCGCTCGCTCCTAGCCGGACCCCTGGCCGTTCGCGCCCGCCCCTAGCTGGCCCCCTGGCCGTCGCGTCCGCCCCTAGCTGCCCCCCTGGCCGTCACGCCCGCTCCTATCCGGCCCCCTGGTCGTCGCGCCCGCTCCTAGCCGGCCCCCTGGCCGTTCGCGCCCACTCCTAGCCGGCCCCCAAGCCGTCGTGCCCTCGCCTAGCCGGCCTCCTGGCCATTCGCGCCCGCTCCTAGCCGACCCCCTAGCCGTCGTGCCCGCCCCTAGCCGGCCCCCTGGCCGTCGCGTCTGCCCCTAACTGGCCCCCTGGCCGTCGCAACTGCCCCTAGCCGGCCCCCTGGCCGTCGCGTCCGCCCCTAGCCGTCGCGCCCGCTCCTAGCCGGCCCCCTGGCCATTCGCGCCCGCTCCTAGCTGCCCCCCTGGCCGTCGCGCCCGCTCCTAGCCGGCCCCCTGGCGGTTCGCGCCCGCTCCTAGCCGCCCCCCTGGCTGTCGAGCCCGCTCCTAGCCGCCCCCCTGGCCGTTCGCTTCCGCTCCTTGCCGGCCCCTGGCCGTCGTGCCCGCTCCTAGCCGGCCCTCTGGCCGTTCGCGTCCGCTCCTAGCCGACCCTTCCTAGCGCCCGCGCGGCCCCTTCTAGCGCCCGCCTGGCCTGTTCCGCCCGCCCGTGGGGCGGACCGCGCGGTGAGCGCTACTTTCTTGTGCTCGTTGACGACTACACACGCTACACCACGGTGTTTCCCCTAGAGCAGAAGGCCGACGTGCCCGACATTCTTCTCCCGTGGGTTGTGGCTGCTCGTCTTCACCGCGGTCTCCCCGTGTTGTGTCTCCACTCTGACCGTGGCGGCAAGTTCGCCTCTGGTCGGCTTGGACAGTTCTGTCGTGCGGAGGGCATCACCCAGTCGTACACCTTGCCGGACTTGCCACAGCAGAATGGGGTCGCTGAGCGCCGCATCGGCTTGGTCACGGAGGTTGCTCGTACCTCCATGATTCATGCCGATGCCCCCCATTTTCTGTGGCCGTTCGCTGTCCGCTACGCTGCTCACCAGCTTAACTTCTGGCCACGTTCCCAGCGGCCACAGGTTTCGCCGACCCTCCTTTGGACCGGGTCCCCCGGTGACGCGTCTGCGTTCCACGTGTGGGGTTGCCTTGCTCACGTTCGTGCCTCTAGCACGGACGAGCTCACTGCCCGCACTGTCCCCTGTGTCTTCCTCGGTTTCCCCCTGGACTCGTCTGACTAGCTGTTCTACCACCCGCAGTCTCACCGCTTCCTTCACTCTCGTGACGTCACCTTTGACGAGTCTGTCTCCTTCTACCGTCGCTTCCCTCATCGAGGTCTCCCTGTCCCCCCCCCCTTGTTCCTTGCTCCCTCTCTCCCGGTAGCCCTTGCTCCCTCCCGCCTCGTCCTGTCTGGTGTCTCCCATGTCGATCCCCTCCCGTCGGTTGTCCCAGTAGAGGAGTCTGCTGACTATGGTGGTCCCTCCGGCCCGTCCTTGCCGCGTCCCCCTTCCCCGGTGTCTCCGCCTCCGCTGTCACAGCCGCCGCCGCCGTCGCAGCCGCCGCCGCCGTCGCCGTCGCCGCCGCCGCCGCTGCCGCTCTTGGCCTCTGGGGGTGCTGGCGTTGAGGAGGGTGTTCGTCCTACGGCCCCTGGCGTGGTCTGTTCTGGCGGGCCTGGGGGTGCCGCTCGTGGACGGCGCCTTGGTGGTCCGGGAATTTACCTTCTCAAGGTAAACTCGGGCGTGGAGGGGGTTCTCGCTCTGGGGGTGTTGGTTCTGGGGGTGCTGCCATTGAGTGTTCTCCCGGTGGTTGTCGTGCCCCTGCCGGTCCGCGGGTCGAGCACTAGCCGCCGCAGCAGCCGCCGCAGCCGTCGCCGGCGGTCTCCGCTCTTCGCTTGCTCGGCCTTCCCTCTCCCGACCGCTCGCTGGTGTCTCCCCCACCACCTTCTCACCTTCCTGTCTCCGGCCCTGTGTTCCCGCCGCCGGACTCGTCGCCGGCCTGTCTTCCTCCTCGTTCCCCTTTTTGTGTCCCCTCCGCTGTCTCCTGACCCTACACCTCCGTCCCACGTTTGGTCTCGCCGTCCCTCACGTGCTCGTCCCGTCTCTCCTGTCCTGCGCTCCCATCCTATGTTGCTCCGTTTCCACTCGTCTCGTCCTCCCCTCTTCCCGTCGCCTTCTCTCTCATCGCTTCTTGTTGCACCTCCCCCGTTGTCTGACTACCTCCGTGCCACTCGTCCCCTTGTCCCTTGGGTTCTTGCCTCTCTTGTTACAGACCCGTCTGTTCCTGTCTCGCGCCTTGACGCGCTTGTCGCGGCTGTTGCTGACTTCGCCTCTACCCGCCGCCTTGACTACGCTATCGCTCTAGTCTCTGACCCTGCCCGTCCTCCGTCTGTCGGGGGTGCACCTGCCCTTGGCAGTGACGTTCTAGAGGACAGGCAGTACGAGCTTGCTTTCCTTTCCGAGGCCGCTCCCCATCTCTGCTCCATGCTCCTAGTCCCAAAGGGTGACCCAGACGCCTTCGACATCCCGACCCCTCGCACTTACGCTGAGGCCACCTCGAGACCCTGGGCCTCTCAGTGGATAGCTGCCATGGAGCAGGAGATGGCATCTTGGAGGTCCACCGGCACTTACGTCGACGCAGTTCCCCCGCCTGGGGTGAACGTAGTCGATGGTCGGTGGCTCTTCAAGGTGAAGCGCCCCCCTGGAGAGCCGCCTGTCTTCAAGGCACGCTACGTGGCCAGAGGCTTTAGCCAGTGTGAGGGGGTTGACTTCTTCCAGACCTTTGCCCCGAACCCGAAGATGACCACTCTTCGGGCGCTGCTACACGTAGCAGCACAGCGCAACTACGAGCTTCACTCCCTCGACTTCTCTACTGCTTTTCTTCAGGGCAGCCTACATGAGCAGGTCTAACTGCGCCGACCACATGGCTTCACTGGTACGTTCCCCCCTGGGACCCAGTGGCTTCTCAGGCGCCTGGTCTACGGCCTCATCAGGCTCTCCGCGAGTGGCACGACACGCTGCGTGCCACGCTAGCAGACCTGCAGTTCTTTCCGTCCTCTGCTGACCCCTCGCTGTTTGTGCATTCCGGCCAGACTCCGTTCTACATCCTTGTCTACGTAGACGACCTGGTCTTCGCTACTGCTGACAGAGACGCACTAGCCTCCGTGAAGGCCGAGCTGCTGAAGAGACACACCTGCACTGACCTTGGAGAGCTGCGTCGCTATCTTGGCTTGCAGATCTCTAGGGACAGAGCAGCACGCACCATCACTCTGACACAGTCACACTTGGTGCGTCATGTCCTTAAGAGGTTCGGTCTTCAGTTCTCCTCCGCACAGCCCACCCCTCTACCTGTAGACCATGGGCTCTCTGCTCCCGTTCCTGAGGAGCCAGTAGAGCCCAGCGGCCCCTACGCAGAGCTGGTGGGTTGCCTCATGTACCTGATGACTTGCACTCGCCCAGATCTCGCATAACCTTTCAGCATCCTGGCTTGCTTTGTGGCCGCAGGCAGACACCGACCACAGCACTGGTCGGCCGCTAAGAGGGTTTTGCAATATCTAGCAAGTACATCAGGCATGGGGTTAGTGCTAGGAGGACGCAGGCCGGTGGTCCTCACTGGGCATATAGACGCTTCTTGGGCAAACGACTCTGAGACTCTCAGGTCGTCTCAGGGCTACTGTTTCAGCCTTGGTTCGGGTGCTATCTCTTGGAGATCCACTCGCTCGTCGTCTGTTGCTCAGTCCAGCTGTGAGGCTGAGATCTACGCTGGTGCCATGGCGGCACAGGAGCTCCGTTGGCTGACCTTCTTGCTCATAGACTTAGGTGAGCAGCCTAGCTCTGCCCCGGTCCTGTACGCTGACAACAGAGCCATGATTCTCCTGTGTCAGGAGCCTCGGCTTGAGGGCAGAGCGAAGCATATCCAGCTGCAGTACTTCCTCCTGCGCGAGCTACAGCAGCGTCGCCAGGCCCGCGTAGTTCACTTGGTCTCAGGTGCCAACACAGCTGATATCTTTACTAAGGCGCTTGCGCCTAAAGATCATCAGCGGCACTGTGTACTGCTTGGTCTTGTTCCTGTAGCTACTCACCTGTTAGGATCCTGATTATGTACTCTCTGTTATATATACCTGCGTGACTGGCCTTGTGGCCTTACCTCCAGTGGCTGGCCTAGTAGTGCCGCCCTGGCTTGCTTTAGTCTTGCTTGTACTCTTGCTGACTGGTCTCAGGACCCCTATCTCAGTGGTTGGACTAGTAGTGCCACCCATAGATGTGTGCTTCTTGCCTAGCACCACCCCTTCTCTAGCCTAGGGAGTGTGTCAACTTATA